AAACCTGTGAATATGCATAATTCTAAAATACCAAACGTATGACATTACACAGCATCAGGAACTTTTCTGACTATCTCAACTCTTATCAGAATTCTTCTTAATGAAGATATCGTTGTAAAAGTTTTCAACTTTTGACAAACCAGTTATACACGTTTTGAGCTGAGATACATCAACTAGACATGAAACACGAAATTCGACCTGGTTCTGCACTAACACACTTTGTGTATTTGATGATAAACCAATAGTGTTGATCACTTGGTTCAAGCACTAGACTCAGCACTAGATCACAGTACTTGATCACACGAAACCCACAATGGGACTACCCAACAATCAATCAAGAACTAAATAAGTCCAGAAAGACAGTTTATTACCACAAGTTACAGGACAGTCAACATTTTAAAATCAATCTTACATATGAAATAGTTTCCTTTAATTAATAAAACCGTATCTGCTCGATTTTTGTTCGGTAACTAGTGACATCTTACTTTGACTGACACATCTTAAGAAACTTCTGAGTCGATACAACTTTTACTTTGATCATTTTTTTTCTTTTGATTTGTGTATGGATGACCAAATGGGTCACTAACTGAGTTGTTACTCAATAAAATCTAAAAACAATACAAGGGGTTTTCAAGTGAAAATTACATGTTATCAAATATATGTTGCGTACAGTGTAGTCAATGATATAAATTAAGACTTCATGTTTCGATTGAAAGTGAGATGAGCTAATGATTCAATAAACAATCAATCACGGTTTGGTCAAAAACTTCGGTATATAGGTCAAGCAGTGGTCATCAGTAAGTTCATATGGGATTTAACGAATAAACCTTCGGCCAAGTTACAAGATCAGTACGTTTGTGTTACTCATTTATAAATAATACCAATAGCCAGTCAGAAGAGCAGCGCATTACTTCTATAATTCTTTTATGCTTATATATGACGAACTAGGCGTTTAAGATAACTGAAAAATAAATAAAGGTAAGTAAATATTTTTCCTCCATAATCATTAGTAATTAACAAGAATGGACAGTTTTGTAAACATCTGAGATTAATGATAAACTGATTAGTTTGTATGGATACCGACTTGTTGAAGGCACTAAATTAGGCATCACCATTTATCATGGTACTATTCGATGTGAAAACTCGTTTTCTAGATAGTCAGACTCATTTTCCTCCACGATTCTTTACGACAAATTATAGTTTTCATCCCAAAATCAAAATACTTGTTTGCAGTGATCATTTTTACCTGGTTCTTATAAACCGTTATTAATTGATTGTAGTCGTATTCAAAGTTTATATTTCGTTGAGATGAAAGTTATCTGATAGTGACTAATTTACACAAATATAAACCATTACAGTTTTTCAAGGACATAAAACCAAATTCTATTTCATACAACTTAGAACCAATTGGACACTCATTTTTCACTGTTATCCTTTAGTCTATGTGGCAATATATTGAAGTTATTGTGCTTCGAAAAACGACACTTCATTACTGTACATGGTTCTATAGTTTGTTTAGTCGATTTTCGATACACATCTCAGTTATTTTTATCAGATGTCTCTTAGAAGGCAGGCATAAAGCGTCGGTTTAATTCATTTTCGGATATATTTCCAACTAAATTTCCAGTCGATGACAATAAAAGAAGACCTCTATAAGATGTATATAGTGTGAATTAAATCTTCAATTTTGGTGGTAAATATATGAGTAACGTTTCATATAACTTACTTCTTAATAACAAGTAGTGGAACCTGTGGATGCTTATGACCCGTAAAATCTTGTTAAAAGTATATATTACAATATTGAACACGGTTCACCCAAAAAATTAAATAATATTCAAGTAAACTTCAAATATTTTCACTTTGTAATCAAATATACTTAGTTATATTGTAGTCAGTACACACATGCTATGACAATTGAAATAATTACTTCAAGAACGTTGGATAGCGGCTGACAGTAGAATCAGTCAATCGATCTATTTCAGACTGAAGATGCCACAGATATTTGGATTTTGACCAGTAACACTTTCTACTACGGATCGTACCCATCAATTTAAATCATAAAACAGAAGAGAGAAGGTTCGAAGATATATTCGATAGGCTATCAATATATCGCGGATCGACTGATCTAATATGGCTAGCGGTTGCAGGGGATGTTGCGCATGGAATTCTCACTAATGATCTGGTGCGGATGCATGATCGAGCGCCTTCAATAGGCAAGTTCACTAAAACTAATGTGGTCAGCACACAGTGTCGAAGACTAAAAGAGCTATGTATTCGGGGATTTATTTACCGCTACAAGAATTTCTAACTAGACACGCCTACACTCCAGTATTGATATTCGCTTCCACAAGTTTCGCAAGATTATCTGTTACCGATATCAAAGTCGGGCTCAATGTTTGTAATTTGTAGAATTTTCGGAGTGATCGGCAGAGAATGAACTGATACTAACGAGGCTAATTAATTGCAGTCCACAAAAATAGTAGGAAAAATAGAAAACCAATGCCAGTGATTTGATGTAAGTATTATTCAATCAATTGCATCATATAAATGTTGTAAAGTCATATAATTAGCTAAATTATCTTAATGCAGAATAAACGAATGAAGGTGATAACGACGTTACTGGACGTCAAAACAGTTGCGAAAAATGTTAGTAAAGTTAGCACAATGTGGTTTAAAAAGACATGTGTAGTGCATCGAGAGATGAGTTAAAAGGCGAAATAAATTAACTGAGGTAGGACCAGCATGGGCTCAATCGAACAGATGTTTTATTGCAACGTCACGTAGGAGATTACAATCACCTTAACGAAAACATAGAAATACCATAAATTTTTCGGGAGGTGTAGGATTTGCATAACAAGTAATCCATACTCAGTGTACTCAGCATCAGCCACCATTACATTAAAAAATTCGAGCAGGTCGACTGGTGGCGCTTTCCTCTTCTGTGGTGTGCGTATGGATCAAAACATCCGTTTGTATGTCAGCGAAATCGTCACATCGTATAGCTGATTTGTTGACGATAGATATAAATTGCAAATTGTCTCTCCAGAGAGCTCATTCAAAGTATGAAATCATCCAGTTTCGACTCTGTATGGAGGTCCGTAGTGAAGGTTGATAATTAAAGAAATCTTATAGCAACCGATCAACGAACGTAGTAAATGAAGCCATGATATGTAAACAGGATACCCATGTACGGAAATTGTAGCTCACATTCGAACCTGGAAAATACTTTAAAAATTGACGTGAACGTAGTTTTTGTGCAAAAATTGTTAAAAATAACATTATGAAAATTCGGTGAACTTCCCATCAAAAGCTAATACTTATGTGAGGCTGGACGTTTAAATCTTACTAGTAGGATGTATTTGAAACCCTTACCTAGCCATTGTGACTGCGGTTCTTTTAGTGGGCTGGTTAATGAGAGTACTCGATAATCTTATATGTATCTCTAATTAATTGCCTTCACCTGAAACACTGTCTCAATGTACTTAATATAAAAGAGTTCGGTTAGAAATTATTGGTTGGCCTTCAACGTATATTCCATATTGTCAATAATAAATACCAATCCACATTATAAACATTACTACTACTAGTAGTAAAATTACTAATAATGACAGTATTTGGAGTAATAGTGGCGGTTGCTGTATTGATCGGTTACACCCTTATTTTCTTAGACTCTCCGATCATCTGGTGTGTTGTTATATATTTGTCTAGTTTTAAATTTTCTTACTTACCAAATTCAGAGTTTAACAACTTTATAGTAAACAAGGATTTGTTATACGGTTTCTCAGCCTTTGCTTTTTGATGGTGATAATTTACTTGTCGATGTTACTTAATGTTACTGATCTTTTAGTCCGTTAATCTCAGCTGTCTAAATTGTAAACACACAGCCAAATATATGTGTGACCTGATAGATTTGCCATGTCAAACGATATTAAAGACCTAACGTCCTATAATAAGGCATAGAAGCGAGTAAATAGAAAGTATTTGTTTTGAAGCGCAATTTTGGACAGTTTGACGGAGGAACTTTCCATATAATCTTCAATAGTTTCATCCATCCCCATTTAGAGTACGGAAACATAGTACTCCCCCCTTACTCCAAAAGGACAAGGTCACTTTGGAACGTATCCAACGGCGAGCCACGAAATCAGTTCGAGGACTCAAATCTAAACCTTACGAAGAACGCCTCCATTCACTAGATCTTTACCCATTAGAGTATAGGAGTCTTAGAGGTGATTTATTAATGGCTTATAGTATTCTTACCACTTCTGGACATCCTCTTAAACACCTACTTAAGCTTAGTTCGAACAATAACCTAAGGGGTAACACCCAGAAACTGGAGACACAACATAGTAAAACGGAATGTAGACATAACTTCTACTCCTTAAGAGTTGTCAAAAACTGGAATTCGCTGCCGTCCGAGTTAGTCCAAGCGACTTCTCAGGAGTCCTTCAAGAGGCAACTTGACCTATTCTTAAGGACCAAGGACAGCATCATACTGTGATTTACCAATTTCTTTTCCTCTTTTATTGTTAGCATACCTAGGTTCCTGCCTGGAGGATTTTATGATCCCTTGCTACTAGGCACAGAAGCCTGTTAAGCGAAAGCTTCTTCTATTCCATCCACAACCATTTGAACCATTTTGAACCATTTGAAATCCAATATTGGGTATTGACATGGCCTTCACTCTAAAGAGCGCGTTTCTTCAAAAATGTTTTTGATATCGCGCTCTGTATAAGTTACGAATTTTCAGTTCTATCTTACAAGTCAGTGTGGTTTTTTTCATCTCAGTAGGTATTTAAGTCCTAAAGTGCTAGTTTGAAACGACTTTATCTGCTTCTGTTCGTTTCATAACTTCATATGAAGAGATTTGTCTTTTGTATACCAGATTTCTTGTGATGACCGCCACTTTTATTTCTCACAAATATTGATTTTATTTGCAATTAGATACACGATATTTGGCTGTTAATCGCAGAGGCACTCTTGAATTGGTTGCATCTCAAAAAATGTTAAAATATTTAATCATTACATACTTTACGGTCTTATTATTATATCTGGATAACTGCAGTCCTGAAATATTTTCTGGAATCGCTGATCTGAATCATGTATGTTGAGTTATCAATTTCATAAGGGCATAGGAATCTGACTACTTTGCGAAGTTCTGCTTCCTATCCAGTAACAGTTCTATTCAGTTTGAATTCGCTTTTCTGGAGGTGAGTTGACTTTTTATAATTCCATATTGTCAGTAGAATACTCTTCCTGTGAAATTAAAATCATTTTGGGACGCTCCAAGAATGTGGCTGGCAGCTTCACAAAGACCCCTGGTTAGTATTTTCTCCAATAAGCTTATGTACAACCCATATTAAAATTTTAATCTTTTAAACGCATGTCTTTTTAGATTGTTTGTTGAGTCCATGGCATTTGCTACTAGCGGCACGAATAACCACCCATCCAGAATGTTTCAAGTGGTAATCAAGCATATCATCAAAAATGCGATGCCAAATAATATTTAGTTCTTCAGTGTGACCACATTGTTGTTGGGATTTAGGAGACTATACAAACTCGTATTTGATAAACAGGTTGCATAAACTATTGTTAATAAAGCGCTTCCACAACTGGTACCTAAAGATTTATTCTAAAGAGCCTTCTAAGCTGTGTTTATTCACACCTAGTCAATGTGATAATACAACAGTGATTAAATTAAAATAATTAGACTGCTTCATTGTTTTCAAATCACATAAATTGAATGGAGAGAATAGTGACTCATTATCAGGTAGTTTTATGTTGACTAGGTTTTTAAAAACCTGCTTCTCAAAACGTTATTGTTTTTGAATGGGAAGTAATGGTTAAATCGTGTACCATATTCTAAACAATACCAAACCGTAGGCTTTGAGTAATCCGGTAGATAAAACGTTCTCTCTGAGAAAATCAGTGTAGTCAATAGCTACTACTTTATTCATTGACTTTATTTAAATTCATAAGATATGTATACACCAAGATTGTCAGTTTGTTGGAGCATGATCACTGAACTGATCTTTGTTGATAGGTACAGGCTACTAGTTTGGGGTCGGAAGATTACCACAACCAACGGTTGGATAACCTTTGTGACATTATGCAGGTTCGACTTCAATGACCTTGATGTAGTAACCCTTTATTTTTTCTCGGATTTTGAATGTGAAGATCATCTTTCCATTATTTTAGTCCTGTGGATTTCTATTTTTCTATCAAATCATATAATCTATACCTAGTTTCTTCTATAACTGATAACACGTTTATAAATTCTGTGGAATATTTCTAAGCATTAATGGCATCTAACTCCGCTTGTAGCTCTTCTAGGGCTACTACCTGTCCCAGGCCCGGGTAACGGAGGATGATTGGGAATCGGGTCAGAAACCCCATCTCATAGAAAGCGATCTTGTTAGGATAAGCAAACCAACTAATTGGTATGAGAAATAGTAATTTCTATAGCTAATATGTGATCTCCTTAATAATCATCACCGGACCAGAACCAAAGACAAAAATTGCAGCGAATTTGATAGAACCAACTACTTGTTGATATTAAATTCAAACGTTTCACAGTATACAAAGTAATGATCTTTACATATATACATGATACTTTTCCGTATTAAGTTCTTGTGGCAACGTAAACAGTCCGATGTATTTCCCAGATTCTAAAATGCTTATGAATGATAGGATGACTGATGGCGGATTGTTTAGTCCATGTGCAAAGAAAATAGTCCAGGTTTATTTCTCTGTGAGAGTTACAAACTGCTTTGGTTTGACTAGTGAAAACCATTTTGTGTCTTCATTTGTGCTCTATTGCATGCAGTTGAAATACTAGTTAATATCACTTTTATGCATAAAGAGCACTTACAATTTTGTTATATTCGTGAAATGTATGACGTTTTGGGACGAACTATCGTACTAACCGTTCTATATCACTTTTAAATTAAACAGTATGGTTATATACTCGAAGACATGTTGAACGAGAGAAGGACGAAGGTTTAGTATAATATATTATGTGAACAATGGAATAAGAAAAATCTACCAATTAATATTGATTTCATTTGGTTTAAAATCCTCACTGAACTAAAAGGGTGTCGTTAAAATGCATTTATGGTACTCAACTCAATATATAATCTTTAGTAAACTAGATTATATTGGTTTGAAACGACCTCTTTTATACATAAAACCTTTATATTCATTTTGTCCTATTGTCAATTCAACATCTTATTTCTGAGTCTATATTCAACAGTTCGTGACTGAACTGGAGTAATTTCCCTGAATTATCTGTTAAGTTAGTAGTTTCTGTGTCTCAATGAATGTCCTACCAAAATTAATCTTGTTATACATCTTCCTTAATTATTAATCAACACTTCAGCCTATAATACCGATACATATCTATATGATCTCATAGTGTATATTCTATTTCAGACCTTTTCAACTTCAAATAAAACATTTTTCATTAAGAGTCTACACGATGTTGAAAAGTATTATGAGCAATTTTATTCCTTAAGTCAGTCTAAATTACTATCATGATTAAGTTGAAGGATAACGTTCATACATGAAACATTGGAAAGTTTTCTTGTTCTACTTGAAGGACCCTCAGAAGTGCGCACCACCTATTTGATATACAATCGGACACTCAGATCCCACTACGTAGATGTTTTTTTACCTACTAGGAATTTCGTTGTTTATTTTCATATCTCATGGAAATAGATGATATATTCACATGACTAGATGTTTGTTTAAACTTCCAGATAATTATTCTCGGTAACTTCTTATCTAGAACTTACAGACTGTATTGATACATCTCGGAAAAAAGTTTTTGAAATCAATATTATAAAATACTGTGCCCACAACTGGTGTTGAAGTTATAAAACTGCATTAATAGCCAAAGAAATTCATTTTTGGAGAATATCGGAATTTGTTTTGACGAAGATTAGATTTATTCTAGAATAAATACATACCAATTTGAAGGACCTTATAAGATTGGTTTGTTTTAACTATATACACTTGTAACGGCCTTATTACTTACTTACTTACGCCTGTTACTCCACATGGAGCATAGGCCACCGACCAGCATTCTCCAACCCACTCTGTCCTGGGCCTTCTTTTCTAGTTCCATCCAATTTTGTTCATTCTTCTCATGTCTATCTCCATTTCTCGGCGTAATGTGTTCTTTGGTCTTCCTCTTTTCCTTTGGCCTTGAGGATTCCATGTGAGGGCTTGTCTTGTGGCGCAGTTAGGTGCTTTCCATAATGTGTGTCCTATCCACTTCCAGCGCTTCTTCCTGATTTCTACCTCTTCTGGGATCTGGTTTGTTCTCTCTCACAGTACGTTGTTGCTAATAGTGTCCGGCCAACGGATCTGAAGTATTTTGCGTAGACAACTGTTAATAAACACCTGTATTTTCTGGATGATGGATTTCGTAGTTCTCCAGGTTTCCACCCCATACAATAGAACTGTCCTGACATTTATATTGAAAATCCTGAGTTTGGTGTTGGTTGACAGTTGCTTTGAGTTCCAGATGTTCCTCAGTTGTAAATATGCTGCTCTTGCTTTGCCGATCCGCGCCTTCACATCTGCATCAGATCCACCGTGTTCATCAATGATGCTGCCCAAATATGAACGGCCTTATTACACTGTACAAATTTTACAAAAAGTATTTTATTAACATAGAATAGAAAAGTTATGGTTAGCAGCGGAATTCCGGATGCGGGTTTCGTCCTACTTAAAACTCGTTAACTTTACGCACCTGTATTTCCGTGTTGATGTTCACACTAAAACTCGTGCTCAACATATTTCGGGGCAGTCCATTCATAAGTCGCATATACTAACAAAAATTAATCATCTCTTCTTCCTAAAAACAGTATAACTCAAACTCTACACAGATATAATTTCACTTCTCTTCAAATCGTCAAAATATTCGAAATACATAGTGTTACCTCAGTAAGTATTAATCGATGCAGAGCTCGGCAAATATATGTATCGGTTAAAGTTTTCATATTACATTAGTAAAAGGTGAAGTTGGCTAGGTAACCAGCAATGTAGTTGGAATAATTATAGAAGCAGTTATAATGCGAAAGACTTAACACTTAGAATAAGCTTTGAGGAAACTTGGTTTGAAGAAAAATAAGGATTAGTTCTAGAACTCAAGACCCAAAGCCACTTCACCTAAAATCTCCAAACACCAGTCGTGATTACGGTGTGGATCCAGGCTAGTTTGTCCGTAGTTGTCAACAAAGTTAATTCTACCGGTCCGTATCTTCATGAATTAGTACCACATTTTCTTTTGTTTAACATTAACTTCCTTCTACATCAGATGACGTCTTCTGCTGAGATGAATGATGAATTAGCACAAGTAATACATATCCAACTGAATATTTACGACTTGATCAATCAACGTGATACACTTTATAAGTACCCTATATTCAGCCTTAGTGTTCCTGACCTAGTTGTTCCACGAAGTTTGAACAATTGATCAAACATATTTGTGATCATGAAACTGTCTTTTTTGTATATCATTTTCATATTTCATGTTTCTCTCCTATAGAGTAATACAAAGCAGATTACCGTATAATGATTCTCTCTGAGAGATCTTTTATTCAATATCTCGTTTGTTATCAAGTGCCAGTGTATTCTCCCTAATCCAAACCAATAAACTTATAGTCTTTGTTCACTATTAAATCAAATTAGGTTCATATATGTTACTCGCAAAATCAACCACTTTATACTTGAATAATATCTGTCGAAAACACAAACTGACCTGCCTAAAATAAAGTTATCTTTAATCACTTCAAGGCTCTTTTAAAAATTCAATGACTATCTGTTCTTGTTTTAAATGTGATTTTCTTTCTCTCTTTAGTTTTCTTGTTTTAAAAAACAAGCACTACTAAATAGTTTATCAGCAAATCAACTATTTCATCTTGATCCCTTCATGGATCGTTGGTGTCAACGAATTAGTTTATCCGATAAAATTTATGATGAATTAATGATAATTTCAAATGAAAAACCAATTAGTTGGGCATCAATTATGACTACAGTGATAAAGAAAATAAGTGGATATTTTAACCGATTAGAAGAAATACCAGAAAGAAAATTACCAACAAATCATACTTCATACAACGGGACAACAGGTAACATATTGTGGTTGTTAACTTTTAATGAATTGGATTACCCTGTTGTTAATATTTTGATTGAATCCCAATGATCAGTCTTAGTTGGTTTATGTGCATTCTGTGCGGATTGTTCTAATATAGCCATGATAACACACGTTTACACAGAAGAGATGAATTGTGGCTAGTAGTAGAGTAAATGGAGTGTGTTTTGTCCTATACGGGATTCTTCAGCTGAATGCGCATCATTCCAGAGTTAGTGTTCACACTGGGATTCGAACCTCGTACATTTAGCTGCAAACATCAACGCGTTATTCCCCTAGCTATTATATCTAGGCGGATGCTTACCTGTACAACGTGTATCAATTTTAACTTAATTTGTTAAGTCCTAAATAAGACTAAACACAAGTCCTGCATTCAACTGCTAGTCATATTCCATATATTCTGTGTCACCACTGATTATTATTAGTATTATCTAAACTACTGAAAATTCTTTTCATTCTTATATTCGGTATAATTTTATCGATAAGACTTTAGTATGAATTTTGTTTATCAATCATTTGAAACAGATTGAAAATACTTAGAATGCATTAAAATATTTATTGTCTCAACATAATAATGTCCAATTTTGATCAATAACTAGAACTCTAATAAAGTACTTTGCCGACTTTTTGTGGATTAATAGCTTGTGTTTCGTGTTATAAAATGTTTGGAGATTCCACAGAAACAAACTGCTGATAGGACAACAAGAAAATGAAGTTGATCTGATCACATCTTCCAGACTATGTTTTTTTTTCATTACTCTACTGAAATTGATACATATTTCTTCAATCATTCATTTATTCAAGTTTTAACTTACTATTGTCAAACAGTATTCTCAATAAACTTCGAATGAAAAGATTCACAGTATTCGTCATGTAGCTATAACATACAATGTGTGAGTTACTTCTAAATACATATCAAAGTATATGTAACAAGAAACTTTAAGATCTTAAATTTAATAGCAATATATTTGAAATTACCCATTCACTGCTACTTGGTTCCCTACCGTTTATAGTTGAGTGAATTAAGTGCCCTTTTTCAAATAAATTGGTTCCATAACTGACAAACAAGAAAAAGCACTTTGATGGATGAATAAGCTTACCACAGTAATTTGTGAGTCAATGATCACAATGAAATAGGTAAAATGTATAAACTGATCGTATTAAGACAGGGGTACTAATAGTAGTGATGAGTATAATGAAGCAAAAAAGGTCCTAGTTTAATATAAGAAGTGGACTAAACTTCGATGAATATAATTTAAAGTAAAAATCACAAGAAAACTATCAATATTACGTAATAAGAAGTGTGTGTAAATAGTTGGATATTGAAGAATACAAACGGAAAGAGGTGAAAAATGACAAACAAATATATGGTGCAAAAAAAGTAGTTTAGTAAGCCATAACCGGCTAAAGTGGGGACTAGGGTGTCACGAATTTCTTCTGAACACATAAACTAGGGTTATAGTTTAAATCACTATAGCTACTGTTACAGATAAGAGACGGGGTCGGATCCCATTAGCAAATCTCAATGGTATATGATAGATCACTCGAAATGATTCGGTTTTATCCACGATATCCCCGCTATGAACTACATAAGCCAAGACAGAGCCATGTATTATCTTTGTCTGACCTTTTCAGAACCAAGCTGGTAAATTTTCACCCACCCACCTACCGTGGGACTCCTCAGCAGTGCGCATTTACGACTCCAGTTCAGCCGGGTCTGTTGTGAGATAGTAACTGACTGAAGACAATGGTAATCGGTGGCTCAATTTTGTGGATTAGTTGAAGTCGAACATTAACACCGTTAGATGCCAGCCGGCTCAGAGGTCAAGAGGTTCGCGCGCGAGAACGATAGGTCCCAAAGTTTGAATCTCGCGGGGTGCGGGATCGTGGATGCGTACTGTCACGGAGGAGTTTCACAATGGAACGAAACGGCCGTCCAGTGCTTTCATGTTCTACATTGTGGTCTAGCTTCAATTTATTCATGATCTCAACTATTAAAATTACCATAATATCCACAAAAACCCCTTCTGAACTTAAATAATTATCAGTGATTTCACATTCGAATTATAATTGTTCAATTAAATAGTTTCTGTAAGTGAACATAACGTTTATTCAAGATAATATTCTTTGCATTAACTTAATGTGGGTTTTTTGTAGTTGGTCTGTGCATTCCTTCTATGTATGATAGTTGTTAACTAATCAAAAAAATATAAGCCGGATCAATGTATAAAAGAGTGTATTTATATTATCATTTGGGCTTGTTTCTGGGATTGAATAAATCCATATCAGCAGTTTTTTCTTGTGTTTTTACTACATATCGTCGGATTTAGGATCTTCAATAGCATGCATAGGTCACTTAAGCATTTTACAGATAGATAAGATTTACCTTCCAAGAATATAAAGCTTTTTTGAATGTCCTATCTTATTCACATGTGAATCATCAACTAATTTAGTTCACGAATAACCTAATCTATCTAGTGTGCCATATCCTAAATGAATGATCATAATCATATTCAACATTTTGTAACTTATCTATCCAGTTATTCTATAGATAATATACTAAAGTTCATTTTATCCCTTCCATTTTAGCACTGCCATTAAATGAAATGAATTTAACCGATCTAATTAGTGTTCGTGAATATCAACAATCTCGAACTTGGTTCCCTGAAGTTATAACAATGGCATGGTCATATTTTAAATCAAATATTAGAAATGAACAAGATTCATTTGTTTTAAGTCAATGGATTTATTGCCAATCTCCAAATATCCCATTGATTGTTAATAGACCATCATGGTGGTTTTTTACATTTGATAGTTGTAATGAATTAAAGTTAGATGTAAGCTATTTGTAGATAGAATATCTTATTTATTGTTTGGTGTTTTATATTAATTATTTATTTACATCACTGACTGCCCTTAGTTAGACAGTTTATGAGAACTAAGAAGCAATGGACAGCTCTTTTGTTCTAGTATGGAACTTCGCAGTAGTAGTGCTCATCTACGACCTCACCGAGGATCTAACTCAAAACTTTCTTGTCTCAAGGCGAGTTTTTTAGCCTCACAACTACTGAGCTGGGATTGAATGGTTTACATTTCTAACATCAATCAACTAGTGATACTGAGAATCAGCTTTACATCTCACATGGTCAAGACTTCTCATTGCAACTCCGAGAATCCCTTCTCAGAATCAGTCACTATTGAGCACATGGTATTCACTAGTATAACGGTTTATTGAATAAACATATTTTATAGTATTATGAACTATTTACTTTATTCTCTTATATGCAGTACACATCTACCAAATGAACAGAAAAGCTCTCGAAATTCTTGATACGGTTCACATATTGAACATCAATAAGCAAACGTAATACAAGTCTACATACACGTATTCTCTCTCATCTGTATGGTTAATAGATGTAATAAATTAGTAACCATGACACATCAATAATATCCAACATTTTAAAACGAGCAGTGAATAATTTTAAAGTTTTAACTAAATCCTTAATCACTTCTTCTCTCTCTTATTTGTATAATTTAATGATCTATGTATGTTTATAGAGAATAACCTTCTTAGAGGCTAAAAAACACATGTGAACAACAGTGAAGCAATAGTCAAACATTTTTTTCCATAAAATACAACTCACAAACATAGTGATAACCCTTGTAGTTGTCAAGATATTATCTATCACTTATTCTGCAGCAATTTGAAAGACTCTTCCGGTCTCCCACATTGTACGAGCATTCCATGTACCTAATTTAATCATTGCTCTGGTAGTCAGTAGAGGTACCAGCCTCATGACTACCGACGGAACTCGGCTTTCATCATGAGGCGTCATAGATCTTCTAAATGAAAACCTTCTAACGCTCAGAGCAGAGTTTTAATGGTTTGAATAATTTTTTTCTGGTTGACGTTTTTTAGTGAGTTAGTTTTGTACGGGATGGGGTCACTAACCCAAAGCCCAACCCTCTTCCTTTATCCGGGCTTGGGACCGGCAGTAATCCTAGATGGGCTCCAGGTGTTGTTATCTATCACTTATGAAAATGGAATTATCTCAATTAAATCTATCAGTTTTCTAATACATGTGAAATAATAAAATTACTTACCGAATTCGATGAAAAGAATATTGGTAACACTTTCAAATGATCTACACTGTTTTTCTATTGTTTCACAAGTTATACAAAAAAATTATTTTTTCCTGGTAAAGATTTTTATTGTTCCATCATTGATGTTTAAAACTGAATTCCTTCTCGGAAAATCCTCTGTTCAGTTATGTATAACTTGTATGAATTGCCAGTAATATAACCATTGGGTTACAATTTCTAAATAATGGATGGTTTATAGCCAATGGTGAAATTCAGGACATTTGTTTCATTACTTAGATTTATCTATATTCCAGTGATATTGTTCATCTTAGGACTTGAACTCAATATCTTTCAATTAAAATACTCAATATATTGTCTACTGAACTAGTAAATTCGGTGAGACTATAATTTATGGACAACCGTTGAGCGATGCTAAAGTGACCTTGAAAATGTCCATCTACATACTACAGCTAAATGAGGGTTAAAATCCAGTGTGGTCTAACATCAATCGGTTCATGATCTCAAACAAAAACTTAACAATCTCCACAACCCCTAAACTGATAATTACCATGTGCTCACTAGTGACTAGCTTCGTGAGAAAATTCTCGGAGTTCTGGTGACAAGCCGTGACCAGTGGAGCTAATCCGTGCCAGGTAGAAACAGGTGTCCACCTCAGTACAATGAAAGATGGTCGCGCAATTCCATGGATTTGTTGAGGTTAGACATTATCACCATTGGATGCCGGCTCAGTGTTCGCGCGCGAGACTGGGTTCGAATCCCGCGAGCGGGATCGTTGGTGCGTACTGCTGAGGAGTCCCACGATAAGACGAAACGGCCGTTCAGTGCTTCCAGGTTTCCAATGGTGGTCTAACATCAATCGGTTTATGATCTCAATCAAAAACTTAACAATCTCCACAACCACTATACTGTTAATATTTACAGTTGATGGTTAAGGTTAAGAATTAGATACAGGGTTTTCATCACAAACTGACATCAGCTATAATGATAACAATCTATTTAGCCGAATGAATGAGTGAATTTCATGCCAAAATCTAAGACCTATTAGCGTAAATCTGATTGATTCGTCCAAATCAAAATTCATTCCTAAATATACAACGGAATTATTAAATTCCTTACTAAATGATGAATAAAAATATCATATCAGTTGAACAATTAGATGAAATCGATACTTCATTGAATAACACCTTTAGCATTTGAATTGAAAGATACAGAATTCAATTATTTATATGAACCATGACATTAGAATACAGGTTGATTCAGTACACGAGGGGCCCAAATTAAAGAAAAAAATAAAGAAATATATCCTAAATGTTACTGTTAATCATAAAACTTTATTATCTTCCAAGTTTTAATTTGAAATTGTTTTATTTATTTTTATTATTCACTATTAGAATATAATTGAAACTTCAATGAAATCACAACAATTATATACAAAAAATAATAAAATAGCTTATCGTTTAACATTAAAAAATGGAGAAAATGGTGATCTATTTCATGAACATTTCTCTTCACAAGAATTTGGTAAATATTCTGTTGTTGTTTTGTTTGTTTGTTTTTCTTTCTTTCTTTGAATTGGAAAACGTCCAATACTCAATGTTTCAGGGTAGAATTCAACTTCTTTTTTTTGTGGTTACTCAGTAATGTGTACTAATGAATTTGAATTCAATGATGTAATGACTGAACGTTCTCTGCAAGATTTGATGTTTCTAGATTCTAGGTTATGGATGTATATGTTTTAAAAGTAATATGCTAAGACCTCATAGGTGTTCAATCTATTTTAGTTTTTAATCTTTCTATAATTACCAATCACACTTGATGCTAAAACTCTAGAAGATGTAGAATCCTTCACATACCTGGGAAGTATCATTTATGAACAAGGGGGAATCAGATGCAGATGTAAAGGCGAGGATTGGTAAAGCAAGAGCCACATTCCTACAAATGAAAAACATATGGAACTCAAAACAGCGTTCAACCAATATCAAAGTGAGAATCTTCAATACGAACGTCAAGGCAGTCCTACTGTACGGAGCTGAAACTTGAAGAACTACTACAACCATCATCAAGAAGGTACAAGTATTTATAAATAGTTGTCTACGCAAGATACTCAACATCCATTGGCCGGATACAATCAGCAACACACAAACCAGCTTCCAGCCTAAGACGAAATTAGGAAAAGACGATGGAAATGGATAGGGAATACATTACGCAAATCACCAAACTGCATCACAAGGCAAGCCCTAACTTGAAATCCTGAAGGGAAGTGGAAAAGAGGAGGACCAAGTAACACACTACATCGGGAAATAGAATCAGATATGAAAAGGATGAATAAGAACTGGAAAGGACTGGAAAGAATTGTTGACGGCAGGGTTGGATGAAGAATGCTGGTGAGCGGCCTGTACTCCTTCACGAGGAGTAACAGACGTAAGTAAGTAAGTAATAGCATCTCATGCATTTAGTAAACTAAGGTATCATTTTATCGTTGCCAACCAACCGATTACATCTTGCTATCATACCATAAAACATATGGTTTGTTATGAAAATTGTGTACAGCTAAAAACATTTTGTAATTAGATCATCGGGGTAAATCGAATTATCTTTAAATTATTGAGAGTAACAAGCATCTTTTAGATTATATGTTCCAATTATTGATCACAAAAATGATGAAAACTGATCGTTTTATAAATTAAATTACTTATAACAAATATTTACGATTTGTACAGTATGGCCATCTGTGTGAAATTATAACTATCTGTACAATCAATGGACTCACTTTCTTTGTGTTGGCTAACTGAAATTTTGATCAGCTTCATTAAGAACAAAATAATGGTGAATAGCAACAATCAGTGATTGATAATCGACTGGTTTCCTTTAGAGAATCAACCAACACACTTGGTATCCCGGACGAAATAGAACGGAACACATTCTGAGCTCTTTTGGTTATTAAGCTATTAGTTAAAAAGTACCCTTTTTTAATACCATCGACATGTTTGATACAGGTGAAAATATTGTGGACCTATCAAAATTTACCTACATCTATTCGACTTTACAAACCAATATTTTACTGTTTCTGACGTTCCGGAAATATTAAACATAAAGCTTTTACAGAGTCGTATAAAACTTAAAATTCAACATTAGTAAGCTAACATTATTGTTAGTACTTTATATTACTTACTTACTTACTTACTTAATTACGCCTGCTACTCCCAATGGAGCATAGGCCACCGACCAGCATTCTCCAACCCACTCTGTCCTGGGCCTTCTTTTCTAGTTCCATCCAATTTTTGTTCATTCTTCTCATGTCTATCTCCATTTCTCGGCGTAATGTGTTCTTTGGTCTTCCTCTTCTCCTCCTTTGGCCTTGAGGATTCCATGTGAGGGCTTGCCTTGTGACGCAGTTAGGTGCTTTCCTCAATATGTGTCCTATCCACTTCCAGCGCTTCTTCCTGATTTCTTCCTCCTCTGGGATCTGGTTTGTTCTCTCCCACAGTACGTTGTTGCTAATAGTGTCCGGCCAATGGATCTGAAGTATTTTGCGTAGACAACTGTTAATAAACACCTGTATTTTCTGGATGATGGCTTTCGTAGTTCTCCAGGTTTCCACCCTATACAATAGAACTGTCCTGACATTTGTATTGAAAATCCTGACTTTGGTGTTGGTTGACAGTTGGTTTGAGTTCCAGATGTTCCTCAGTTGTAAATAAATAATTATTTACTTTATATAAGTTATTATAAATAATAATTTAAAATTACACCTATTTCGACCTGACCTGAATAGCTCAATGGCAACTTCTGAAACTATGAAGTTGAATGATGCGAATTAAATGTTGTTAGAAACAGTGGAGAGACTAGAATTTATGGACGAACCAATCAGATTTACGATAACAGGTCTTAGATTTTGGTGTGAAATTCATTCACCCATTTGAATAAATAGAGTCTTGGGATTATAGTTGATGTCAGTTTGTGATGAAAACCGTAAATCTAATTCTTAACGCTAACAATCAACTATGAATCATAATCCTTATTCTTCAAACTGCTTTATAACCCTCATTTAGCCCTAGTAAGTAGGTAGACACTTTCAAGGTCACCTCAGCATCGCTCGAACGCCGTCCATAAATTATAGTCTTACAGAAAGAGTCAGTTCACTCAAGATTACAGACATGTCTTGCCAAGAAATACCAACTAACATGAAACCTATTTTATCTAGGATTTCTTATTGACTACCTCTAACAATCTAGTACTTTGAAATACGATCCTCGTTAACTAAGAAACTAAACAAATTTATTCAATATTCGTTAATATTTGTTGTAATATGATTAGTTGGGGATGAATGAGGATGGAGAAATTCGAACACTTCACTTCTACCTAAAGTTTATGTTGATGATGTCGTTCAGAAGAATGATGAAAGCTTCACACGACCAAACTATCCATCATCCACCTGATCTACAAATCTTCTTCATCATGGATGAAAAAAATAAAAGTCATTGTTAGAAATTTTCGGAATATCTCTATATTTCTGCAAACTAGTTTTGTTCACCATATGTGATATAACTTAGAAACATTTAATAATTTAAGCAAATATAACCTGACATTTTGTTTAAAACATCAATAAAAATATTCACATAATAATTTGAATAATACAAAAAGATTTTAGTTGCTCCTTACGTCTTTATAAACCTTTCATGATATATTTATTACGTAATCATTTATATATTAGCTGGTTATATAATATACCCTTGTGAGCCAGGATAATTTTACATTGGTTGTCAGGACAACCAGACACCATCCAGACTTTCATGCGACAACCCTAACAGTTTAGCTCAATCCCGTTTAACAAGAGAGTCAGACATCGCCCAGGCTTAAATTTTATAACCTGAGCAGTACAGCTCAGTCCCGCTTCACAGGTGAACCAGACACAGTATAGGCTTTGACGCTACAGTCTGAATATAACAGCTCAATTCTGTGGCTCAATCACACAGGTAGTAAGCACCCTGGTGAACCATTTGCACCATTCATATACATATTCACGTCACACGTATAGTTATTCCGATCATCATTTAGCTAAAAGTTATTTTGAAATCATCTTTATTCAATTAGTTACTGATTTGCCAGTTAGAAACAAGAGATAAAAAAGGTGGTTTACCTAAAATGAATTTTATTTTTTGTATAAAATAAGTGTTGCTAAGTTTATCAATCTGTAATGGTTGGTGTTATGTCAAACTCATATAGGTTGTTCTGATTTCTGGACAAACCGGTTTATTCATTCATCTCAAGTAACATTATTACCCTGTCACTTATTCACTTATCAACCTTATTTCACTCATCACATGTTTGTAATTTATTTTTGTTTGACTATAAATAACGATTCACACTTGATTACGTTGAGTTGGCTCATATACCTTCGCCGATCTGTTACGCTTCCCTCTTTCCTCTCCGTCTACTTTGATTCGTTTCTCTGATCTTTTTTCTGGATCAACGAATGTACAAAATATACATATTGAAACATCCATTCTTGTAGGAGAGCAGGGACAGTTCAACGTTTGGTTTATCGAAAAAGTACTAAGAATGACCTTTACCTAAATTTCAATAGTTTTTGTTCAATCAGTTACAAGAAAGCATTGGTTAAAACACATTTTATAGGGTAGAAAGGATATGTACCACCAACAAACTAGAAGAAGAATTGATGAACGTTGAAATATGCCTAAGGGACAACTGGTACCCACAGAAATTTATTGACAAATATAAAAAACCCTAAAGAAAACAAGATGGAAGTGATTACAGTCAATAAAAAACCAGTATCTATAAATCTCAACTTTAAAGATGATGATTTCGCAAACACATTCAGCAGGTGGCTGAACACTGCACTAGACAGAACTTACGCGGAAGCCAAACTTTTAATTCTGTATAAAACAACATGTCCAATAACTCAATCAAAGGTTGACAGGCACTCCTTTCATGTTACCACCAAGTGTTTTTATAAATTTACGTGTAACTGTCAAAGCACCTACATTGACCGGAGAGAAAGTAGAGCATATCTTAGATTTTTTGAGCATGTTTCAAAAAGCCTCAGAACAAGAGAAAGAACAACTCTAAACATTGCAATTACCAAACATTTCCTAAATACAGGACGTCAGTTCGATACCTTGCAATCTTCCAAGGTGATTAGTAAGCAGCCAAACTCCAGTCTTTTGAAGCTGTTGCTATCAGGCGTCAAAAACCCAATTTATGTTTTCAAAAGGGTATGGTTATTAATCTTTCCTTAGCTTTGGTGACAAATATTCCTTCGCTGCATCTTCAACTTTTCCCTTTAACTCTTTCTTGCATTTATTACATCATTATATGTTTTTATTTCAACTATCTTTCAAATTAATCTTACTGTGTCAACTGAGCTTTACTCATTTTATTCCTATCAATGTTTACTCATTATGTAATCACTTGTTTCTGGCTGTTCCAACTGTTGTCACAATCAATGTTATAGAATTTCCTTTTACATAAAGTATACATTTACAATATTCAGTCTATTCAATTTATTTACACCCTTGCTATACTATACGAATATATGTCTTCGATATAGAACTTCCAATCAAACCCTTTCATGTAAGTAATTTAAACCAATTTTGTAATTATGATTACTGAATATCACTGCTTGATAAAAAGAATTATGTGTACGAAAGAACCTTTATTGTTAATCTATATTTTATATGTTGATGATGATTAGATTCCAGGCATAAAACAGTTCGTTAATAAGTCATAATGTATTCTTATTAGTTGAGATCATGAGTTAATTGAAGCTAGACCACCATAGAAAACCTGAAAGCACTGGACGGCCGTCTCGTCCTACTGTGGGACTCCTCAGCACTGCGCATTCACGATCCCGCCTCGCGAGATTCAAACACAAAACCTACCAGTCTCATGCGCGAGCGCTTAACCATTAGTATAATATCCACAAAACGCTTTCTGATATTAATCAACATATTCTCACTAGTGACGGTTTCCAAGAGGTAATTCCTATAGTTCTAGTGAGAAGCAATGACCAGTGGAGTTCAACCGGGTCTGTTGTGAGATAGTAACTCACTGAACACAATGATGGATGTGTTGCACGATTCCGTGGATTAGTTGATGTAAGACATTAACACCGTCGAATGCCGACTGGCTCAGTGGTTTGAAGGTTAAGCGTTCGTGCGCGAGACTGATAGGTTCTGGGTTGGAATCTCGCAACGTGGGATCATGGATGCTCACTTTCCACAGAAGGACGAAACGGCCTTCCAGTTCTTCTACGTTTTCCATGGTGATCTAGCTTCAATTGGCTCATGATCTCAACTATTAAAATTAGTATAATATCCATGAAACCCCTTCTGATCATAATGTATTCATTTGTTTACATTGTTTTTTTTGCTACATTTTAGGTAAACTGGAAATTGATTTATTATTTTTTATATTACTAGGATCATTGTTTATAGTAGCAAATCTGTTACTATGTAAGTTTATTTGATCAGATTTTATGTTACTATGTTATAAAGGTTATTTTTTTAAAAATCATCAAACAGTTGAATGTTTGTTTTATAGCAACAAGATTAATATAATGAGTTTCTTAAATATTTTAAAGTAATTTTCAATGCTCATTGTGATCATGTTATGACATTCAACCTTTTAATATGTCCACTTACTTATATCATAACATGATAAGTTCCACTAATTGTTAGTTCACTTACACTTATCTAACCAATGAACTTCAGTTTAATATGTAATTAACAGCCAATAATGACTAAGATTCTTAAATTTTGTCAGCCCAACATAGTACCCTCCATCGTGTTTTGTTCTCAATTCAATCTCTTCGACAAGCACTTCACTTCTGATCGATGTTATATACTACTTACACCTGTCGAAATCAGTAGCATATCTCTCAGTTGTATGTGTATGTTAAAAAAATCTATCGAGTGAAAAAATAGTCTATGAGTCAATTAACTAACTTAAAACCATATGTTTCTTAATCGATGAAGTACTATCAACAATTAAAGGGAAAGCAGATCATCGATTATGGTCCAATGATCTATTGTCATTTCCAGGATATATGGTGGAGTGAATGTAAAACTCTAGGAATGACAGTGCATTCCTTTAGCTGACGAGTCTCAAATAGGAAAAAAACATGGATAACGAATTCTACTGCTAGCTATTATCCAACTCTGCTTAAGAAAAATAAGTAAAGTACATAAGAAAGAAAATATCATTTAAGATGAAGTAATCATTTACATATATGCATCCTAAACACTCTGACGATCTGGTTAATTAATTTACACATAGAAACATTAATTAATTAATCGAGTCGATTAACCATTTTTTGATAGACATTGAAGATAGTCTTAGATTCCCCTCGCTAGCCACCATCTATCTCTGCTTATAATGCTTGTGACTTAGGGCAGTAACATGGTAAGTCACACAAGATTTTCATATTGTGAACAAGAGACTAATCAATTACAGTCCTTAATAACAATGGAAAGATACAAGTGAAACAACACCAAGTGAATTTAAACTTCACCCCACTGCACAAGCAGGTAGCTATCAGAATTCAGTAGCTAAATGGATAATGTGATGGCATTTGAAGCGAACGTGATCGGGTCCGAGTCCCGGAGTGAACATCAACTTTTAGGTCCAGGTACATCCAGTTGACAAGTCTCAAATAAAACGAAAGGTACATCGTGGATTTCACTGTTAACCGCTTCCATCTTTCCTTATAATGCTTGTGACTTGATGCTAGATCGAGGCAATTCGCAGAAGTTGCACATATGCCAACAAGAGACTGATCAACTGCAGTCTTAAACACTAATGGGAAGATTCAAATAAACAATGCAAAGTGCCTCATTTATTTCTTCAAATTTTCAATAATTTCAATGGTTAAGATCATGAGTCAGTTGGAGCTAGACCACGCGCGAAACCAGTAGGTCCTGGGTTAGAGTCTCGCAGAAGGCAAGGTTGTGGATGCGCACTGTTGAGGAGTCCCACAATAGAACGAAACGGCCGTCCAGTGCTTCCAGATTTTTCATGGTGGTCTAGTTTCAACTGACTCATGATCTTAACCACTGAAATTACTATAATATCCCAAAAGCCCATCTGTTATTTTCAAGAGTTGGCCATTTGTATTTAAAACATTAGTTAACTTTAGAAAACAAAAGAAAACGAATATTTTCATATCAATATGTTCTTTTATTTCGCTTTTTAGTTCGACTTTATCGTTCAAATCTATTACATCATACAGTTGTATTATGGTATACATCAATTAGTCTACGTTTTTTAGCTCAACTAATTCAATTAATAGTGGATATAAATTTTGCTAAAACAGGTTATTTCAATTCATTCAATACATCTTTAGGTTAGTTAGAATAAACTTAAATTTTATTTTTTCGTTTTAAAAAACGTTATCACTAATTTTTTGATTGAGATCATGAACCGATTGATTCTAGACCACCGTTGGAAACCTGGAAACACTGGACGGCCGTTTTGTCTTGCGTGTGAATGTTTAACCTACTGGACTGAAGGTCCTGGGTTCGAATCCCACGAGTGGGATTGTGGATGCCCACTGCTGAGGAATCCCACAATAAGACGAAGCTGCCGTCCAGTGTTTCCAACGGTGGTCTAATATCAACCGGTTGATGATCTCAATCAAAAACTTAATAATCTCCATAACACCTATACTGATACTTGCTAATTGTTACTATAATAATATTAACACATTTGTTCAACAAATAGATATGCTAAACTGACTAGTTACAATAAACTTTGTAGGTATAGGTTCTGAAGGTGTAGAAAAGATTTATAAGTGAATTATTTTGATGGAGTTTCATTCTATAAGCTACACAATCAAATCATACAATTCAGATAACCAAACTTCAGCAAGTTATATATTCATATATAGTGAGTAATAACTGTTTAATATGGTTAAGCTTTGAGTAAATAATTAGAAATTGACTTCATATTAGACATTTCATTTCAATACAATTGAATGTATGCATTATTTAATTGTAAACTGAACTTCTATTAATTACTTTTAGGTAATTGATGTGTAAATTTTAATTTTTAAACATTTCGTAGCATAAACAGAACATCTTCACCTGTAATGAAGGCGAGATATCCGTCTATCAATTAAGGGACGAGTATACTGCGCGACAGTTTGTTCTGTTCTACTTTAAGGCTGCGAAACGTAGCCACTAAGAGTAGAAGATACTCATAAATTACTAATATTTGACCACAGATGTCTTAGAAATATTGCTCGTAACTGCTTGGATCACCGGGTAAGTAATGGTAAGATTAGACACAATGTATTAAGGAATGGTGGTAAATCAGTTGGTGACGTTCTGAATCTTCATCGACTGAGATGGTTGGGCCACATAATACGCATGCTCAACCACCGATTACGACAACGCGTAATGCTGACTAGTGTTAGAGACAGTTGGAAGAAAGTTAGAAGCGGCGAAACCATAGAATGGCATCGGTCTGTAAAGTCACTAACGTCTAGTCTGAACCATGTTGGTGGTAGATGCAGACTAATTGATGGAACTCCGCCTGATTATCGTATCCAATGATTGGAGACTCAGAATCGATCATAATGGCATAGGTGTATACACTCTTTGTCTTCCTTTAAACTATGAGACTAAAATCGCTTCATATCTTTCTTTCTACCAACTAATTCTTTCTTCCTGTACTATATCCTTATTGCAAACTTTCTTTTATATATTATCATCACTGAATTAACTACTTCTATGAATTCGATGTTCATCTTGTTGTGCAAATGAGGTGTGGCAACTTGGACCGATGCATATAAATGTGTCTGGTCCTACGTTGTAGCTGACTAACTTTAAGTAAAATAGATTCCGCTATACATAATACAGTTTCTATATGAATCGGGTAAATGAAATAATACATAACACAGCCAATAATTTGAATACACACTAACTACCTTTCAATCTTTAATAACTGAAGTATGTTAATACTAAATTACATATTTAACTCGATTACCAATGGTGATCCAAATGAAAATTTACAACCTCATCAACTGATTTACCATCATTCCCTAATACCCTGCGTCTAACCTCACTGTTACTTACCCGATGATCCCAGCAGACTGATAGATTTATTAGCCCTTAGCTGCTATGAAACAAAAAGTAAGCATTTAAGTAGTTAAAATTGTTTCTTTATTTGCCCACAGTTTATAGTTTCTTTTTTTTGAAGATAATTGTTTTGAGCTCATCTCTTATTTTGCCTTAGAATTTATATTACAGTACTTAACTATACACATCTGATAGTTAAAAACTCAATTGATTTTGTTATTTCTCTTTTTTTCCCCTGTTAATAGCTTATTTATTTTATTCCGCTTCAATTAGTTGTTTCTATGCCAGTCTTGTGGTACTTGGTAGTGGTTTTACGATAGTTTATCAAACTGTACCACATAATCATATGATTGCTTTTTTAATTCTATCCATTTCTTATGCATTGATCAATTTAAGCTGTCAAATATCTATGGGATTAGTAAGTATATATATACATATAGTACACATATTATGTAATATATTCGGTTTTCGTATAACCTCTACTTTTTTTTATTATAGTTGAATAATGAGACCCAACTCATATATATTTCGCTTTTTTTATTAAAATCATGAACTGATTGATATTAGACTACCGTTAGAAACCTGGAAGCACTCGACAGCTGTTTCATCCTATTGTGTGACTTCTCAGAAGTGCACATCCACGGTCCCCCTCGCGGGACTCGAAGCCAAAACCTTCAGTCTTGCGTGCGAACGCTTAATCTACTAGATCCAATGGTATTATTGTCTAACATCAACATCACATTTCGTCCTAATCACCTAAAAAAAACCTTAACATCAACAATTGGATGACATAAGTTTTTACACTAGATGGCCTACATATGTTATGTTTTCTTAGTATTATTTCGAAAGAGAACTACTTCAATGGAATGATTCAAGTTACCATAGAAGTGATATAATTCATTAGATCTAATTTGTGTTGAATTGATTTGAATGAACAACATATATATATATATATATATATATATATATATATATATATATATATATATATATATATATGAGTAAAAGGATAGGTCAATTGTGATGATTGAATGCAATATATTTATTTATTTATTTATTTACATAGATATTTACAAATGAAATGTACAATTATCACTTCATAACTGATTAATTATTCAATGATTTCAAAATGAAAATTTAGCGTCAACTATATTGTCATAGTTACATGATATAAATATCCTTTCCTAAACTATAAACCGCTATGGTAACTCAAATGAATAAAAGAAAAACAAACAAAGATTAATTTGCTTTTATAGATTTTGATTTATTACTAAAATATTAACAAGAAACTGATATGATTGTGATTGAAAGTAGTTACCATCAAACTATACTTGATTTATGCTTCAATCTAGTTTACACTCGTCAATAAGTGATGCTAATAATCTATAATAAAAAAAAAAGAAATTGATGCTCCCTGTGAGATTCTAACCCATCTAAGATACTATCACTGAGCTATGCATGCAACAATATGTTATAAATTATGCCGAATCAATTCAACTAGTGACCATATTACAATTTGTTTGATATCTATCTATCTATCAGAACTGACGATTGTACAGACATTCTATTGATCATTGAACAATGAATACTTATCGGTTTAGGGGTTGTGGAGATTGTTAAGTTTTTGATTGAAATCATGAGTCAATTGAAGCTAGACCACCATGAGAAACCTGGGAGCACTGGACGGCCGTTTCGTCCTATTATGGGACTCCTCAGCAGTCTGAATCCACGGATTAGCTCCACTGGTCAAGGCTTCTCACAAGAACTCTGAGAATTTTCTCACGAAGCTAGTCACTAGTGAGCACATGGTATTTTACAGTATAGTGGTTGTGGAGATTGTTAAGTTTTTGATTGAAATTATGGGTTCGAATCCCGCGAGGTGCGGGATCGTGGATGCGCACTGCTGAGGAGTCCCGTACTAGGACGAAACGGCCATCCAGTGCTTCTAGGTTTTCCATGATGGTCTGGCTTCAATTGACTCATGATTTCAATCAATGAATACGTAATTTGATTTCAACTAACTTTTCTTCACATTTTTGTCTAATTTTATTTATTTCCTCTCTGGATCACTCACTTATTCATTGATTATCATAATTATTTTGTAGACACATTACGAAGTTGGTATATTTAGTCGTTATCATTCACAATCGGGTTATGTCTATTTAGGTTTACAATTGTTCAGTTATATTGCCTATCTATTCATTTGTTCATATACTTGTATTAAATGGTCTGGAAAAAGAATTTTCTTTATTCGATTTATGGCAATTAGTTGTATTTGGTAAGATATTATTCTTTAACGTTTTTCTGGTTAGTGTTGTTTAATGAGTTAGTTTTCTACGGGATGGGGTCGCTAACACCCATACCCAACTCTCCTTCTTTATATCCAGGGACTCGGGACAGGCAGTAGCCCCAGGTGAACTCCAAGTGGAGTTATATTATTCTCTAATTTATTATATATTCTTTACAAAATGTAAAATTAGCTCTGATATCCACTGTCTTAATGTACAATTGAGGAGAAAATTAAGTCATTTTGACAGTGACAATCAATCGTCTAAACAGGGATTGAGAATACAATAGAAGAAAACTGTTCCAATTAAACAAACGTTCAATGAATGTTTCAGTTATATTGATTTATGATTTCAATGAAATTCAACAATCTCCACAATCACCATATTGATAATTATTATTTGCTCATTAGTGACTAACATTGAGAGGAAATTTTTGGGGTTCTAGTGAGAATTTTATGAGCAGTAGAGCTAAATTATATTGCGTATGTGGAAGGTAACCACTGAAAACAATGGAAAATGGCCACGCAATTTCATGGATTGAGTGGAGTTAGATTTGTACATCAAATAATATTCGCTTAGATATCTAGTGACTAAGTATTTGCGCGAGGTATCGAATGTTCTGGGTACCCGTTCTGACTTTAAGGTCGGGAATGTGCACTGTTAAGGAGTCCCACAATTGGGTGAAACCGAACGCAGAATGAGACTTTATGGAGATCGCAGTAATTTTAGTACTTGGATTCATCAGTCTATGTAAGCTGGACCACCATTGAAAATTTAGAAGCATTGGACGGCTGTTTCGTCCTAGCATAGGGCCCCTCAGCAGTTCACATCCATGGTCCCGCATGCGGGACTCGAACCCAGGGCCTTCCATCTTGCATGCGAACTCTTCAACTCTAAACCACTGAGCCGGTATCCAACGGTGTTAATGACTAATTGCAATCAATCCATAATCTTGCGCAGCTATTCATCTATTGTCTGAGGTAGATACGGATTGGACTCCATTGGTCATGACTTCGATTGACACAGGAGTTCAATGAAATGAAAAAAATTTTAAAAAATAACCGTTATTAGTATTAAGAAGATACAATTACAATGACCAAGAAATCTAATTTACCAGTTCATATAATGTGAGATACTAGAAAGAAGTTTGTAAGACTGTGGATACATCAAATATGTATATTGTACCGAATTCGATATTGTGTCACTGAAGAAAAAAAAATGGTTAAACTAGATAAAAATTGGTTTCAGAAAATCTATTGACCAAATAACGACAATATGGAATAATCTTACATTCCAAAAATGTGTTTTGCTTCTATTCAGTGTAAAGTTTTCTAGAAATTATTCATTAAATGTGTGATGTGTATTTGATAGGATTGTTAAACAGTCTCATCAGTGTCATGATACTTAACTAATAAATTAACGAAGAGTCTCATACCAGATCAAATCAAACAAATTGACTACTCATTCTTAAATCCCCTTAATTGATGAGGCCAAAGTATGTAACCTTCTTAACTCATAAGATGAACTTATTATAACGGGAAGCTGCGATTAAATCATTTAAACTCAGACACTCAAGTACAACTGTTCAATTAAAAATCAGATAACAATCAAAAATATTTTGACATAAATAGAGATTGCGAACAGATGAAAGTGTCAGCTTATTAAATAGAATGTAGATACCCTTGATCCCTGGTCAATCATACCTCATACTGACTGAACGCTTCTGTTATATTTGACAATGTTATAATTTCAAAATCCTTAACTGGCTGGTGTCTGATACTAAGATCTCAAATATGACGACGACAGGAATGGGATACAGGATCTCAATCTAACACTGAAAGATATTCCTAACGAATGCCGACGTATTATTAATCCAAAAAGTGACCCGAAGATGATGAAATGTGTAAATATTAATGTTTAAAAACATATGGTTAGTGATGTAAATCACAACTTTCACTTGATTCAAATGTCTAAAATTATGATTCTCAAAGATTTCCTCGCTAAAATCATATGTCTGCTGTTCCTAATCCTAACGTAAGATGTTCACCAGTTGCTGAAACTGTAATACTTTGCATTTTTTTCCATTTTCGTTCACTTAATAATCACAAATGCGCGAAATGTGGGACTCAATAACTGGAATACGATGAGCGTTTGATACATTTGAAAAAATTTCAATACAATAGTTCAATCCTAAAATAACTTCATCAATAGTGAAGACTAATTAGTCTACTAGGTTGGAGAAAGTAGAAATAATCGATTGTTGAACTGATCCATATTTTGAAGGGAAAACTTCTTGATTGAAGTTCACAAAGTGAACACAAATTGTGTTAAGAGACTTTCGGCAGAAAAATTCAAAATTAATGATACTTGAACAAATACATTCATTTGTTATCTTCTTGAAAATCTCAAGTTTTGTAATCACTATTTCATAATTATCATTTCTACTGTACGGAGATGAAACTTGCAAAACTACCACAACCATCATCAAAAAAGTACAAGTATTTATAAACAATTGTCTATGCATGATACTCAATGTTCGTTGGCCAGATACCATCAGCAACAGGCTACTGTGGGAGACAACAAACCAGTTTCCAGTTAAAGAAGAAATCAACAAAAGACATGGAAGTTGGATAGGACACACTGATATAATCATCAAACTGCATCACGAGACAAGCGCCTACTTAGAATCTGGAAAGAAAACGGAACAGAGGAAGACCAAAGAACACATTGCATCGAGAATTGGAAGCCGAAATTAAAAGCAACAATAACAACTGGAAAGGATAGCCTAGGATAGAGTTCGATGGAGAATATTAGTGAGCAGCCTATGTTCCATCACGAGAGGTAACAGGCATAAGTAATGAAGTAATCATTTCTCGAAATGAAATCGATTTTTAGAGAAAAAAAATTACTTGACATTATTAGTGATGTGATCATTTCTACACTTCAGATTCTCTTTTCTCTAAAATATTAATAGAAATCACTGTATAGTCGCTTAACAGATTGAAGTATCCAGAATAATTTACATTACTTATAATGGAAATTTTTTTGGCATAAATTAGGTTTTGGACTGTACCTTTATGGATTATACTAAGTATGAATTATATTTATACTTGGTATATGGAAACATTAATTCGTCTTATAGATGAATTAATTCATTTTGCTGGATTTATCGTTATGATGGTAAGAAGATTCTTTGAAGTTTTTCGTTTTATTTGTTCGAGTGTTTTGTTTTCTCATTATTTCATACAAATTCATAAATTTTAGTGTAATTAATGAAGGGATTGATTATGAAAACAGTGATCTTGAGTATTGTTAGGGTTATGAGGGCGGTTATCACTTCCCTTTTTGCCACACGGTGTAAGGGTTCTTCTAGAGGTACCTGAAAAGAAGATTGGGTTAGGGGTGGTCTTAGTGGCCTAAGAGCGTGACCGCAGTGCCTAAGAGACAACTGCTTGACGTCAATCATACACGAACTTTTTTGTGAGTAATTTTCACGTCAGCTCCGTACTTGTTGGGACCTTACAACTGGAGACGGAAATCCCTGGAATAAGGCGAGGTGCGATTTTTTAAGGTCGACCTTTTCTAAGCCCACCCTTCCTTTGTTGGGAAGACAGCATCGTTGATATGCTGGTTGAAGGAAACATTTTAATGCCATCACACCTCTGTACAGTCAGCAGTACGAATTCGCCCTCGAACTTTGGGCTTGCTGCTTTTAGACTCACCGCTCTTCAACAGACCTGTTTGGCATGGTAGGACTTTGAAGAATTATTGTTTCAGCCAGTATAACTCGATTGTCTCATTACGATAGGTAAGCCCAACCACCACTTTATGATTCAATGGATCGACGATGGGCGAGACTATAATTTATGAACGAACCGACCAGGTATAAGATAACAAATCATGAATTTTGGCGCAAAATTCATTCATCCATTTGGCTAAATAGCGTTTTGGCATTCCAACTGATGTCAGTTCATGATAAAAACCCTAAATCTAATTTCTAACCCTAACCACCGACTCTGTATGTCGAAATTCTAATTCCTCACATGGGTTTATAACCTTCATTTGATCCTAGTTATTAGGTGAAGACTCTCAAGGTCACTTTAGCGTCGCTCAAATGTCGTCCATAAATTATAGTCTGACTCGACGATGATGCAACCAATGCTTAACTATAACTGGTTTGCTTTAGTGATCCATAGATAAACTTCTGAATGAATATTAAAGGGTAAAAATCTACGGAATTTCCAGCAAAGTTAAATTTTGATAATGAGTTATTTAAAATAGACTTAAGACAATAAGTGATCACATCAAATGTGACACAATCTTTGTCAAACACTATGTGTACCAGTGGGAAATGACTGATCTTATGCAAGTTAGATTTCGATGTTAGGTGATTGAAATTAGTCGACAGGAAACAATCCTTAACTTACTCTGTCAGAGAAGTCCACCTTCGATCTTGAGGGCAATGAAGCTCCCTGCGGTCACATTACAATCTGATCGATAGAATTCAACCAGGATTGTGGAGTGAACATTACACAACACTGGTCACTTACCACACAGTGATCAATCAATGTAAATCGGATTTCAAATATCTTACATTACTGTTTCTTAAATGTTAAATGATTTCATACAGTTTACTTGTTTCATGTTCGTAATATGTATTCTATTCTGAAAAAAAAATTCTTTTCCAGGTTTTCTTAAGACCAGATAAAACAAATCTAATATTTCCATATCATACTAGTGCAATTTCAACAATCATATCTAAAAAGAAAGATGATAATGATAATTGGGAAACAAAACTAGTTACTGAAACTGTTAGCAGCACATCGACAACAACAACAACAACAAAATCACCGCAATTATCTATTATTCCTATGAAGAAGAATATAGCACAAGCAGATAATAGCAAATCAGTCAATAAGAAAGTTTCACCACCTCAACGACCGAATCCACCAAGATTATTTAACTTAACCGGGAAACCAGGTGATTTACCAGCTCCAGGATCTGTTCTAACTAGTGGTTTATCGGAATTAAGTAAAACACCAATGAATTCATCAAAACGTCCACAAACTACACCAAATTTAAACAGTGGTGTAAACAGTCCACGTTTGCAAACAATCGATAAAGCTGGTTCAACACATTAAAACATCATGGGATATATGTTAATAAACCATAGTTATATACGCTCGCCTGTGTGTAGCGGAATGATGAATTGATCAGATAAACGATAATTTCATTAGCTGTTATTAGTACCATTTTAATAAATTCAATTAATGTTTTATTATACTTTTTCGACTGTAGAATTAATTCATTAATTTAAGATTTTAAAATTCTTTATGATTTTTAATAAAACCATGAACTGATCTAAGTTAGACTACTACGACTAGATTGATAGATGTTGGACATTAAAACCGTTGGATATCAACTCAGTGGTCTAGAGGTTAGGCGTTCGCATACGAGATCAAAATTCCTGGGTCCAATTCCCGCGTGAGGGGTCTTCAATGAGCATTGCTGAACAGTTTTTAATGGTGGTCTAAATTATATCGGTGAATGATTTCAATGAAACTCAACTATCTCCACAAACCTTTATGAGAAATTCTCAGTGATTCTTTATGATATTACCTTGTCTTCGGTACGGTTGGTTTGACCTCGTTCGGTGCTATGGTAAAATCTCGAATAGATGGACCGATATGCGAACGCTCACTAACTACGTGAAAGTTCTTTGATCTGAACCTCATTTAAAAGACGAAGAAAAAGATAGTCAATTTGGCCTCTGTATATATGACTATAAAACTTCCTATGATTAAATACATGAATTACTGGGGCATAATAAATATTTAAAAGATTACAATATATGCATTTAGGGTAGGTAATCTAAGCAATAGGCATGTACTTACTTAGTAACAAGTTCAGAAAAGAAAACAATACCACAACAGCTGAGTCAAACGGAAGTTTCATATTTTATGACCGCTGACCAACATCACGTGAAAAGTAACTAATCAGAATCCCGACTCCGATATGGTCTATTTAGTATCAATTATTTACTCTATGACTGAGTGACTATGAGTTAGTCGACCAATTACATATCTGACCAACACTATTAACTTTAAGTTGACACCTAGGTTCCTATTGGTTCACAATTCTTTAACATCTCTCTTTGCCCTGACAGCCTATACCATATTTTATTTCAAAAAGACGTAGTTTATATACAGACATAACCGCCCAGTTTGCACCATAAAATAGAAAATAACAATTATACAAGAACAAGCCAAAAATGGTTGTGAATAGGGGAAACTGTAAATTATAGACTGGCAACAAAATAGAAACAGTTTAACGGTCAACCGGAAGCTTATGATAAGTTGAATATATAGACAAGGTAATCTAGTTACTTAATAATTACACAATAAAAATGTACGTAACAATAATCATCCATAACGTAGTTCTGTACGTTACCGTTCCCTAAACCTTCGTCCTGATATGATATAAAGCTTGTCATTAGAAGAATAAAAACATCACACAAATTGAGTATCAGTAGATAGACATTAAGTGAATATGAATGCTGATGTTTTGAATTATAACACTGAACGTTTTTCATTCTCTCTTAATGATCTTGTACTAAACGTTTAGTCTCTATGGTGTACAAGATGATAGTCGAGGGGTAAGGACAGTCAACTCTCCCTCTCCAAATGCTCTCACATGGTCATGCGTATACAGCCACTGTCAGAGAAGTCCTACTCACTGCCTTCTCGAACCACGGGTGTTGTTTAAGAAATTGAGAGGACGAAGTGCAAATGTCCGGTGCTTTAACTGGATTGGTGGACACGGAGAGTTCACATAGGGAAGTTGGAAAACCCTCATCCCAAACGAATGGTGCACATGGGCTCCAGTATCCTGAAGGAACAAATGGCGTACAAAACAATTATTGGATACCAACTAACATGAGACTGCATCTCCTGACATTGCTCCACTGCCTTGTGGATTAGACCTTTGGGTCAAAGGCTCTAAGTGTGACTCCCGAAGAAAACCAACTGCATCGGTTAGGGCACCCTGTCAGTATCACAGCCCACACACAAATCAAGTGACTTGTGTAGTGCATATGTATTTGGTGCCCCTTCGTATCAATATTTATGTGTTCAAATAAATAAATAAGTGTGTTACGGAATATCCTCAAAGTTATCCCTATGCTTCGTACATTGATATCCTTGATAACCATTAATACTATACTTTCCAATGATGTACAATGTCCAAAAAATAAAACGAAATTGTTGTAACAGTTTATTTCTGTACAGCATCAACTGATATTTAAACAATAAAGAGAAATATATATGTAGGCTGTCAAATGTGCTCAATCATGCATGTTCATACAAGCAGGGAAATATGTATGTGTTGACGATATAGGAACATTATTAGGCAGTTGAATAATAGCTTCAATAGTAAAATATAAGATGTGCATTTCGTCCTAGTTAGGATTCATCAGTTGTCAACCACTATCCAACTCTTCCTAGAATACTTGTCACTTAATGACAATATCAAAGTAAATTGCACAAGATATAAATTATATCATCAAATGAGATTAATCAATAGCAGTCCTTAACATGAACAACGGGAAGATTTAAGCACTATTACAAATCAATTCATATTTGAATTAGTTCCCTAGAAGGGAAGAATTTATGGAAATGTGATAAATGCTTCAATCAACCCGAATAATACTGAACATAAATAATTCGTAAAATAGTCAGTGATTAAAACAACACTGACCGTATTCACATCCATTAGTAGCAGAGAACAAATGACTGAAGATAAGATAACACAACTCACCAAGTACGAATTTATATTACTCAGTTTTAATTCACACAATTTATGTGTAATGCTACACTAGCTATCTGTACCAAAGTAGAAGCAGCGTATTAGGGAATGATGGTAAATCAGTTGATGAGGTTGTAAATCTTCATCGACTGAGATGGTTGGGCCACGTGTTACGTATGCCTGAACACCAATTACCACGACGTACAATGCTAACCGGTGTTGGAGATGGTTGGAAGAAAGTTAGGAGTGGCCAAACCAAAACGTGACATCAGTCCAAAAAGTCACTAACTTCTAGCCCTAACCATGTTGGTAGATGCAGACTACTTGGTTGGGGTCCGCGTGACTATCCCAACCAATGGTTGGAGACTCTTGGCGACATGGCTCAGAATCGAACACAATGACGTAGGTGTATACACTCTTTGTCTTCCTTTAAACTATGAGATTACAATCGTTCCATATCTTTCTACGTAACCCTTTATTCCTGTACTATATATTTATACACAACATTCCTTATATATATTACCACCATTGAATTAACTACTTCTATGAATCCGATGTTCATCTTGCTGTGCTGATGTGTTATGGCAACTTGGAACGATGCAAATATGTGCGTGGTCCTACGTTCTAGCTGACTGACTGACTGAGGCTGAAGTGGGGGGCTCGAACTTGTGACCTAACATTTGACAGATAAACGACTCAACATTAAATTCACTTCTTCTGCTTCTTCAGAAAGAAAGAAAGATCACAAATGATTTGTTTTTATTATTAGAAATTTGAATTTGGCCCCGTTAAAAAAGGAATATGGAAATGAATAAGTTAAAACAAACAAGTCAAGTTATTTGTTCAATGATCAAGTTGAATAGAACAAAGATAGACAGATAGATATGTACGATCATTGACATGAATTTTATAAAAAAAAACTAAAAGAAACACAAAGACAAATACAAAGATCCTCTATATGATGATGATGATGATGATGAAAGAACTCAACGAGTGTATTTTACATTAACACTATTCAACTTGTGTTTTTTTTTATGAAAGGAACATTGAAACGTTTATCTATACAAAACAAAATAGATAGTTATGTATCAAAATGTCTTATTCAGGGAATGTACAAAGTAGTAAACAAGAACTTTGTAAGAATACAAATATCATCATTGAATTAGTTCCTGACTAATGACAGTTTATAGATATAATGAAATGTGAGTATATTACATATTCACTTACTTACTTACATACATACAACGGTTACCCCTCGTGGAAGAGTATACACCGTCAGGCAACAACATTCTCCATCGAGTATAAATATTCACATATTATTATTAATATTATCTAATCGATATTTTTCTTTATCCCAATAATCAATATAAATTAATTGTTCCTTATATTCATAATTGACTCTAAAGGATATTGATCAGAGAGAATTTCATTTGTTTTAATAAATGCTTGTTTAATATATGATACAATATTATCAGAATGTACTGATCGTGCAGCATTTGCTTGAGAGAATGGTTCTAGATTGGTGATTATTTTATTATTTTGGAGAGGGAGATGAAAGAAAAAAAAACGGTGGTAATAAAATCTAGAAATTTACTTACTAAAAAAAACATGAATTACTTTTAATAGCTGAGATGATGAGTCAATTGAAGCTAGACCATTATAGAAAACTTGGAAGCACTGGACGGCTGTTTCGCCCTAGTGTGGGACTCTTCAATAGTGTGCAACCACGATCCTGCCTCGCGAGATTCGAATCCAGGTCCTATCAGTCTTGCGTGCGATCGCTTACCCTATAGATCACTGGGCTGGCTGGCATCCAACGGTGTTAATGTCTAACTTCAATTAATTCGCGAAGTTAGGTGACAGTCTACCATTGTCTTCAGTGAGTTGCTATCTCACAACAGACCTGGTTAAATCCCACTGGTCATGGATTTTCACTAGAACCCCAGGAAATACCTCTTGAAGCATATGATGATTATAATCAGAGAGGAGTTTTGTGGATATTATAGTAAATTTGAGAGTTTAGATCATAAGGGAGGATTGTGGATGTGCACTGCTGAGGAGTCCCACAGTAGGACGAAACGGCCGTCCAGTGCTTCCGAGTTTTCGATTGTGGTCTAACATTGACCAGTTCATAATTTCAATGGAATAAGGGAATAATTGATTCACCAATGGTTAATTTAATCAACATATACAAGGAAAAAGAATACTAATCACTCATAAGCAGTCTAATTATCATACGGGAATTTAGCACAAACTACTTCATCAATTATTATTCATCCAGTTGATTGTCTACAATCCATACAGTACAACACTTATTCAAGTCAAAATGACACTAACAGTTGGATGATATGGTAACGTGGGTTACTGCCTTTATAAAAAGGAAAAAAGATTTCGTTTGCCTCATAATCATCAATATTGACAATTAACGCTTTTAAAGTTTTAGGGTAACTACTCATTTATCAGGTATATATTAATGTGGTCGAGTTCGAATCTGCCTGTTTACATGCGATGGCTGATCACAATAACCGGTAAGGTCAAATTGAATTATATAGCGAGCATTTCGGATGTAAGACTTAATATAGTTAAAAAATCAAGTAGTTTAATGGTCACTGTGTTATTGATGAAATAAACCATTAGTCTTTCGAATAACTCGATAATCGGACTAAATAATATAACTGCTCTTTTAACGGACAATCTAATCAAAGGGCCCAAATCTGGTTATCTCGAAGCTATGATAATTTGTAGCTAAAAGCAACTTGAATAAAAACATTCGTTAAGTTTTTAAAAAAAGATAGGTAAGATATACGTTTTTTGTTTCAGTCAGTCGGTCAGCTACAACGTAGGACCAGGCAAATATATACATCGGTCCAAGTTGCCACACCTCATTAGCACAACAAGATGAATACCAAATTCATAGAAATAGTTACTTGAATGATAGTAATGTATAAAAGAAAAACTGTGTATAAGGATATAGTACAGAAAGAAAGAATTAGTTCGTAGAAATAAAGGTATAAAGCAACTTTAATCTCACGATTTAAGAGAAGACAAAGAGCGTATATACCTACGTCATTGTGATCGATCCTAAGCCATGTTATTCAGAGTCTCCAACCATTGGTTACGATAGTCATATGGACCCTAAACCAAGTAGTCTACATCTACCAACATGCCTTTGTTATTATTTAGTCATGAGATGAATTAAATTCAATCAAAATGAATAATACACATAGTATGGATCATAATCAATACAGAAGAACCATTTACCTTCAATGAAAATTTTACAATTTCGTACAATATAACCTTGTTCATAGGGTGGTAAATGTTTCATAGCTATATGTTTCATTAATGGTGTTTTATGACGAATTGTAATAGCCCATTTATTAAAATCAAATTGATTTGTATAATAATAAATAAATCCAGTAAATAATTCAGCTAAACTATTAGAATTATTTGATTGTAATTCATTCCATGGAAGTTCAATATTCATATCTAATTCATATGGTCCCATGGTGTAATTAAATAAATTCTATGGGGAAAATAAAAAACAAACAGAGAAGGAAATTATAATAAATGATTACGGAAGACTAAACAAGAATAACTAGGATGATTCAGAATCAATAGCCCCCAAATGCTCTGGTACGGCCAAGAGTGGAGAGAGTCCGCTCTCCCTTTCCAAATGCTCTCACATGTCCACGCGTATATAGCCTCTGCCAGGGAAGTCCTACTCACTGCCTTCTCACACCACGGGGGTGTTGTTTACAAAAATGAGAGGACGAAAACCGAATGTCCAAACCAATAGTGCACATGGGCGCCAGTATCCTGAGGGAACAAATGGCATATGAACCAATTGTTGGTCACCGGCTACCATGAGACTGCATTTCCTGACGTTGCTCCACTGCCTTGTGGATCAGACCTTCAGGTCGAAGGCTCGGGGAGTGGCCCCCTAATCAAACCACCTGCTTCGGTTTGGGCACCCGGGTAGTATCACAGCCCTCAAACATATCGAATGAGATCTGTGTGGCGCATATGTATTTGGTGCCTCCTTGTACCAATATCTATGTGTTCAAATAAATAATACGATTTAACATGACCATGTCTTATTTACTTCGAACCAAGCTACTTAGAATAAATGAATTGTGATTAGCTATAGAATCTAGTATGAGTTTCGTCTTAAGTAGGATTCATCAGTTAGACAGACCTGAATTCCAATGTCGATGATCACATCGACACTAAAATTCAGTGTATCTTTTGCGTCAAACACCTCACTTATTATCTAATGAGTTATTGGGTTCAAATAGCTATTAATATGTTCAATGGATATAATATTTACATTATTATTAGTAGTAAGTGTTGAAATTATCCAGTTGTTAACTGAATTTCGATTTTTCAGGTATTCTATTCAAGTTGTTTATAAAAGGATAGGATCATTGATCGCTGATCAGGGCAACTGAAATAACAATACACTTGAGAAAAAGACAAATGTCAGTTAATCGTAAATGTGTCGAGTATATATCGCAGGCTAATGATGAATATACGGATTCTAAATAGCCTAATTAATGATCGATTGCACGTGAGCAAGTTGAATAGTTTCAACAGATGTTTTAAAGCTTTACTGGTGATGGTATTCAACTTAATGCAATGATTGAAATTACAAAGAAGAGACAGTCCAGAATATTTCCGACATAATCATATTCTCATTCCCGTTTCCACTGTTATAACTAGAAAACTAGCTCCGGCGATACTGTTGTAACTGGGTAGCCAACTACTATATGTGAGACGTTGTCGCCGTTATTCATGCATCGACTCTCATCACTCCCCAGTCTTACTGCTTTTACTTGACAATCGAGAATTTCTGCAATTCCTACGACGCAAAGTGAGAACACAAAAGTCTGGTACAATGAAGGTTGAATTCACCATCCAAAAATATTTTTCTTTAGACAAGTCCAAAAATCGCATCCTCTTTAGACTAAAACATGGTCGTTCATATAACTAATTTCACACAATTAATAGTATCACATACAGGTGAATACATACAGTTACTATAACAACACACATGAAATATAGTTCACCTGCATTAATGCAGTGAATGGAATTATCACAATGAACGAGAATTCATATAGAACAAAGTTTATACTGAATTGATACGAGAAAATATTGACCTAAATAACGTCATTTCAATGGAGTTTTGTTATCTGAGTTAAATGGTTTGGTCATGGAGCTTTCATCGTTCTCCTGAACGACATCATCAGCACAAACTTCAGGAAGAAGTGAAGTGTTCAAATTTCTCCAAATATGGTTCACAGTTTTTTTTCCTGTAGACCTCGATGTTGAACCGCATGTGGAGAAATTCGAACACTTCACTTCTACCTAAAGTTTGTGCTGATGATGTCGTACAGAAACACAATGAAAGCTTCACGACCAAACCATCCAGCTCAGAGAACAAAACTCCATCAAAATCATACACTTGGGCTACAAATCTTCTCCATTATCTCAACGTCATCTCATTGTCATATTACCATGTCACATCAGTAAGACGACATAAAATGAACAAGACGAATAACAAAGAAGTTGAGATGAAAATTATTGCAGTTGTAATGATGATGATGAAGACCGAATACTGAAAGGATGGTTCGAAAAAAAACAGAATGAAAAGAATACTGAAACTCAGCGTCAAAGATAATACAATGGATAAATGGATTGACGTCATATTGTGACCAATTTTGATGGATATCTGACGATTTCTCTTTAACCACTAATAGTAGTTATCATATGGTCTCCACAACTATGTAGTGTGGAACTATTAAGGTTTTAGTTAATACAGTCAATAAAATCATAGATCAAAACCCTATTTTGATATGGTTGCCCGCCCCTTAGCTTTTTCCTAACTGACGTCTACAGTAATAATACCACTAGAAGTATGTATTTTTTTTAGTCCGATGACACAAGATCGAGAACATACATATACAAACACATACTGGAAACTTTTCTTGCAAATTAGGTAGAATTGGTGGAATGCAAGCGGTTTGAAGATAATGAATAAGCATTAGAAGTAAACAATAGGTGGATAGACGACCACGTTGAGCATCATGAATATCCAAACATTGAGCCCAATGTTTAATGAAAATTCCCAATGGTCTAACACGCCAATCAACTAAATTTTTTTAAAGATAACAGAAACAAAGAAAATAGATTAGCCGATTAATGATTATTAGTATTAAGATTGTCGCATATTTTAACAGAGGTGAAAAAGGAAATTCAGTGATCCACAGTAAAGTCACAACACGAAGCACTCACCAGTATCAATTATGGTTTAGTATGGCCTTTCATTTTGAAGCCAATTACATCGAACAGTGATAGTATAGACGGGCGACTCCTGTATCTAACTCTAATTAAATAGTTTGTTGATTGTTATCGAAATATACATGCCGCGAACCCTCGTATATAATCATCGACTTAAATCGCGTTAGAGAATAAAGGAATATAAATAAGTCAAATACGAGAATGATATTTGAGTACGTATATTTCGTACACTCGTTGATCCAGACAGACGAATAAAGAAACGAAGTGAAGGAAGCAAATAGAAGAGAGCGAAGCAAAGCGAGACGAAATGACGCTCGGTGGAGAAGGCGAGTGAGATAACCCTATTTAATTAAGCATCATTCAATATTTATATTCAGAAAAAAATAGGTTACAGACACATAATGAATAGGGTAAGCAATTAAAACACGTACGATCATATAAAAACATTCAGGATTGATAAGCGAATAGTTGACGAGGTCAAAATGTGGCTTGAAATGAATGTATAAACTGGTGTATCCAGAAGCTAGAATAGCCTATGTGGACTTGACATAGAATCAGCCACTACAATGTTTTGTGGGCGATGGAGTTTATGAACTTGGCATATCTAAATTATTTCAATCGTTGCAGACTTATAAGCTATTAGATTGGGACAAATAATTGGGAGAGATGAGACTTTTATAGCTATCCAACATAGAATGATTATACCTTTATAATGTAATAACCCTAATTGTAAGAATCCAATTGACCCAATAATTGTTGTGAATTCAATAATCAGCTTTATATCGCTTGTCGTATAGTTATGCACACATGATCTCGTACTTGTGATGCGTTGTGGTCATGTAATTCATGTATATAGACCTTTGAGTTATGAGGAGAAGAAGGATGAATACAATAATAAGAAGTTTATCTATTTCCTGTGCTAGTCCTCTGAATAACTACTGCGGTTAGAAAGAGTTTGTTGAATCGATAAGCACCAAAATTTCGTGATCCATAAGTTACTGATTAGGAGACCGTTGTAATACCAGATAACTTAAAGTAAATAACAGCAAAGAAAGTTGTGCCACTAATACAGAATATGTACAAATAAAACTATTCAATTACCAATGGATTACACATTTTGCAGTAGTTATACAGGCTTTCATTGTAATCATTTACACTATATGACCTGGTATTGTAATCACTAATACACAGAGACAGAGACCTGCAAGCATATTTGCCCTCGAGCTTATTACAACCTACTGTCCAACCAGAAAACGAGGTCAGCAAAGCAGATATCAATCTCTAGTCACTAGCTGACTCGATAATCAAGTAACCCAAACAAGCCGGAAAATGCAAGATATTATTGTATCCTCAAAGTTTTAATCACGAACCGACCTCAGTTAGACAAGTACTGAAATCCAAGAAGCACTGAACAGCTGTTTCGTTTAAGTAGGGAACTCAGCAGTGTGCATCCACAACTTAATATTCACGATTCTAAACCAGAACATTCGGTCTCGTGTGCGAATGCTTAATCATTAGACCACTGGGCCGGCATCTAACGATGTATATGTTCAACTTTAATCAAACCATGGTATTGTGTAACCATCATTCATTGCCTATGGTATCTACTGTCTCATACCCAGCAGTGTTGAACTGTAGTGGTCACGGATTTTCACAACTCAAGTTTCATTAAATATGGACATTTTTTCAATACATTCTAGTGATATTGAAATGAATCGAGGTGATTGTCAGAAGGGCCATTCACAAAAAAAGTAAATAACATGAAAACAGATGTGCACTGTGAAAATTTCAGCTTGTTCATTAGTAAAATTTAACAGCGAAAAAATCAATTCCATCTTACAAATAATGTCTGTATTGAATTCCTCTTATATTTTGCATATGCGGCTAATGAACATCCTCTCGATGGCCTGGTATGGCCGGCATGGAGAGTTAGCCCTTCCTCTCCAAATGCTCCTATGTGGCCACGCGTATATAGCCTCACTGACTTCTCGTGCTGTAGGTGTTGCTTACGAAATTAAGAAGATGAAAAGAGAATGTCCGGTTGGAGTTTAAACTGGTTTGTTGGGTACGGAGCATCTGAACAGAGGGGAATTGGAGAACCCTGATTGCAAACAAATAGTGAACATGGGCTCCAGCATCCCAAAGGGAAAAAGTGGTTTATGAACCCATTCATGGTCACCAGCTACCACGAGACCATATTCCTTAATGTTGATCCACTGTTTAGTGAACTAGACCTCTGGTTCAAAGACTGAGAGAGTGGCGCTCTCTAAGAAAACCACCTGCTTCGGTTTGGTTACCCGGGTAGTATATCCCACTCAAATGTAAATTCAGTGATTTGCATAGTGTATGTATATTTTTAGTGCCTCGTTGTGCCCATAGTTTGAAATTATTTTATGGTTAGCGTTTTTTAGCGAGTTAGTTTTCTACGGGATCAAAAGCAACCTACTGTAGGAGAGAACAAACCGGATTCCAGCGGAAGAAGAAATCATGAAGAAGCTCTGGAAGTGGACAGAACACACATGGAGGAAAGCATCCGATCGCAACACAAGGCAAGCCTTTACTTGGAATCCTCAAGAACAAAAAAGAATAGGAAGATCAAAGAACACAATATGCCGAGAAATGGAGACAGATATGAGAAGAATGAACAACAATTGGATAGAACTAGAAAGGAAGGCTCAAGACAAAGTGGGTTGAAGAATACTGGTCAGCGGCCTATGCTCCATTGGGCCTAAGTAGGTAAAAACTTGTTAGACCAATGTTTATGTGTTTAACTAAACAAAAAAAAGTAGAAATATCAACATTGAAATTTTACTCACTTTTTGCATACATAGCTAATAAATATGTATTATATAATCCATTTACATTATTTACATTTAAATCACAATCAATACCGGTATATCTATCACGAAATTTGATAATTGGAACTTTAGCACGAATTAAGGTGAATTTATAAAGGAAACCTACAGAAATATAGAATGATGGCAAAAAAGAAAAAAAAAGAAAAAAAATATTAGAGGAACAAAGTTGACAAGAAATCAAACGTACATGGGGTGGGGGCATTAGAAACATTACCCTGTTTCAGTTATCAGAAATTATTTTTATTTATTTATTTTAACACATAGATATTGGTACAAGGAGTCACCAAATACATATGCGCCACACAAATCTCATTCGATGTGTGTGAGGGCTGTGATACTGCCTGGGTGCCCAAACCGAAGCAGGTGGTTTAATTAGGGGGACACAACCGGGGCCTTCGACCTGAAGGTCTAATCCACAAGGCAGTGGAGCATCGTAAGGAGATGCAGTCCCATGGAAGCCGGTGACCAACAATTGGTTCATATGCCATTTGGTCCCGCAGGATACTGGAGCCCATGTGCACCATTGGTTTGGAATCTGGTTAAAGCGTCGGACATTCGGTTTTCGTCCTCTCGTTTTCGTAAACAACACCCTCGCCATGAGAAGGCAATGAGTAGGATTTCCCTGGCAGAGGCTATATACGCGTGGCCATTTGAGAGCATTTGGAGAGGGAGAGCGGACTCTCCCCACTCTTGGCCGTATCAGGGCAAGGAAACCATACCAATAGTCTACAAATAAGAAATAATAATAATGATGGAATCGATCAATCAGAATGTAGTTATTTAGCAAGTGTTTGATTTAAGTGAGATTATTTTTTAAATGGTTTCGTATGGTTAATCTACTTATCTGATGCATTTTTTTAGCGAGTTAGGAAGCAGTGCTGGAAGTGGATAGGACAACATTGAGGAAACAACCCAACTGTGTCACAAGGTAAGTCCTCACTTAGAATCCTTAAGACCAAATGAAAAGAGGGAGACCAAAGGACACAATACGTTGAGAAATAAAGATAGACATGAAAAGAATGAACAAAAATTGGATATAACTAGAAAGGAAGGCCCAGAACAAAGTGGGTTGAAGAATACTGGGTGGTGGCCTATGCTTCATTGGGAGTAACAGGCGTAAGTAAAGTAAATAATCAGCTGATATTAGAAGTTTGATAAAAGCCCTCATTCCTGTTAATTTTGGTGATAATATGATTGTGGAACATGCATAGTATGTGAGACTATTGAAAAAAAAGTCATCTTATGTAAGCTGGTGTTAGGAAATGGTATGCAGAGAAGATATATGATTCTGAGATATGATCACTTTAAGAGTATTAGGGTTGAGAGTTTTAAAAAGTTAAGAGTGTCAAGTTTGTGATGGTTTAGGTAAAAGATTCAAGATGAGTTAAAATAGAGAGTCACTTTACTTTACTTACGCCTGTTACCCCTCATGGAGGAGCATAGGCTGTCCACCTGAGTTCTCCATTCAACTCTGTTCTGGGCAGTCCTTTCCAGTTTCTATTCTTCCTTTTCATGTCTGCTTCCAATTCTCGACGCAGTATGTTCTTTGGCCTTCCTCTTTTCCGTTTCCCTTCAGGATTCCAATTGGGCGCTTGCCTCATAATGCAGTTTGGTGATTTCTGCAATGTATGTCCTATCTACTTCCAACGTCTTTTCCTAATTTCCTCTTCAACTGAAAGCTGAATTGTCCTCTCCCACAATAAGATGTTGTTGATGGTATCCGGCCAATGAATATTGAGTATCTTGAGTAGACAAGTGTTTATAAATACTTGTACCTTCTTGATGATGGTTGTACTAGTGCTCCATGTTTCAACTCCGTACAGTAAAGCTGTCTTGATGTTCATACGGAAGATTGTGACTCTGATATTTATTGACAGTTATTTTTAAGTTCCATATGTTCCTCAATTGTAGAAATGCGGCCCTTGCTTTGCCAATCCTCGCCTCTACGTCTGCATCCGATCCCCCTTGTACGTCGATTATGCTGACCAGGTACGTGAAAGTCCCCACATCATCCAAAGCTTCTCCATCAAGTGTGATTGGGTTGAAAATAGAGAGTTACCATTCAGATATGTGATTTAACTTACGGGACTTTTTTACTCACAAAACCATCTTTAACTCACATCAGCCTCGCTCAGATACGATCTACAATACCAGGAGGATGTTTTAGCCTACTCACAACATCATATCCAATGTGTGATTGAATAAAAGATATTTTCGTCAATTTTGAACATTTCAGCAACTTCATATCAACGAGTTTTGCTTAGTTTTTTTTTGTAAAAAAGAAATACACTATCCTTTACCGAACGTTAGATTTTCTATAGGAAAATCTATTGGGACAAAAGCAATCAGACAGTGTTCTGTTGTCTAATCCGCTTTATGCTCATAGTGTGATGTGTGCTACTGATGTCAACAGATATAAGTAGAATGTATCATTAATAGAAAGTGAAATGTCTGGTGGCAGAAGGTTAAGGAAAGAGAATGAGAACAGAGAATGATTGGTGCGGAGTCGAAAGAACAATGAATTCTGATACAATTGACTGATATTTTGTAGATGAAGGATTTACTGTATGGTTCTTAGATTTTACCAAGAGATTCTGTAATTTTGTGTTTAAATACATTCGATTGTCCCTATTTGTGTTCTCGTTCACTACAATAGGACCGATGACATATTTTACCGATGAACAATGACAGAAACTTAAACGTCTATTAGTCTATGAGTTATTTAAAATTCAATATCTAATCGAGAGATTAAACTAGCAATTAAATAAAATCTCTATTTTTTATTTGAGATCATGAATTGATTGATGTTAGACCACCATTGAAAGCCTGGAGGCACTGGACGACCGTTTCGTCATATTGTGGGACTTCTCAGCAGTGCACATTCACGATCCCACTCTCGGGATTGGAACCCAGGGCCTTCGATCTCGCGCGCGAACGCGAACTTCAGTACAATGGAAGATGGTCGCGCAATTTCGTGTATTGGTCGAGGTTAGACATTAACAATGTTGGATGCCGGCCAGATCAGTGGTCTAGAGGTTAAGCGTTCGCGTGCGAGACCGAAAGCCCTTGGGGTTCGAATCCCGCGAGTGGGATCGTGGGTGCGCGCTGCTGAGAAGTCTCACAGTAAGACGAAACGGCCGTCCAGTGCCTCCAGGTTTTCAATGGTGGTCTAACATCAATTGGTTGATGATCTCGATCAAAAATATGATAATCTCCACAACCCTAAACTGACAAATATCTATATTGTATATCCGTTCCATTACATAACTCATACAGTAATATAGTGTGAATTCCTGGTCACAGAGTAGTATCAATAGGAAATTGCATTTCTGATTATAATTACAGCACAAATAAAAAGGAAACTAAACAATAGGTTAGTTCATAGTAGTGTGAGAAAGATGAAATATACAATAGTAAATTATGCGTCAAACGAAAGATTGCAATTAGAAGAACATTACAGTATCATAAACTACTTGTCTAATAGTTACACACACAAAAATACAACTAATGATTTGACAGCTTTAATTCTTCTTCAAGACTATCCTCAAAACAAATAATTTTGTCTCTGTGCGCTAAACACTTGACTAAGTTTCTCTTATAGTGTGATGGGACGAAGGTAAAGAGAAAAAGTGTGTATATTGTCTTTGTGTAGTCGGATTACGACAAACACTTCTTGAGAATCTATCAGCTTTTCTCTTCAATAGGGCATCTAGAAAGGAGATAGTGTTGTAATTTTCTTCTTCCATTTTGAAGGTGATTGCCTAGTGGACTCTATTAAATGTTTTTGGTAAACTCTGAGTCTCACGATTGTTTTTGTGACTATAAATGTATCATTCATGTAGTGAAAATAAAATTCTAGTTTGCCTATCACTCCTTTTAGAAGACCGTTTGCTAATTTTGCCAGAAAGAAATCAGCTACGACTGGACTTAATGGTGACCCCATAGAGATACCGTCGCATTGTCTGTAGAGTTCTTTATTAAACAATAAATATATATTCATAGTATATCTGAGTATGAATTACCTTAAAGAGAAAACTGGAATGTCAATACCCATTTCTTGATTTTGTAACTCACTATATATGAAATCAACCATTTCTATGGAAAGTACGTTTCAAATAAAGATATATCAAGTATTATCATGAATTTCTTGTTCACCTTCAAAATTTTAATTCTCTCAACAAATTCAAAACTATCTCAAACAGTCAGCTACAACGTAGGAACAGGCACATATATGCATCGGTCCAAGTTGCCATACCGCATTACCACAACGACATGAGCAACAAATTCATAGAAGTAGTTACTTCAATGGTAGTAATATACAAACCAAAGGTTGTGTATAAGGATATAGTACAGGAAGAAAGAATTAGTACGTAGAAATGAAGGTAGAAAGCAACTTTAATCTCATTGTTCAAGGGAAGAAAGAGAGAGTTTACACCTACACCGTTGTGATCGATTCTGAACCACATCATCAAGAGTCTCCAACAATTGGTTACGATAGTCACGTGGACCCCAACCAAGTAGTCTGCATCTACCACCAACATGGCTCAGACCAGAAGTAAGTGACTTCAAGGACTGATGCCACGTTTTGGTTTGGCCACTCCTAACTTTTTTCCAACAATCCCCAACACCGGTTAGCATTGTACGTCGTGGTAATCGGTGTTCAGGCATACGCAACACGTGGCCCAACTATCTCAGTCGATGAAGATTCACAACCTCATCAACTGATTTGCTATCATTCCTTGATAGCCACCGTCTGATCTCACTATTACTTACCCGTTGATCCCAGATGATGCGAGCAATATCTTTTACACTGTGTTGTAGTGGCTTTTAGTAATAGTAGTAGTAGTAGTAATAGTAATGGAACTATAATTAAAACTTACGACATTTTCTTAAAGATTGTAAAAGTCGACTTAATATAAACGTAGCTTCATTTTTCTGATGTAAATCGCGTGATGTTACAAGTAAACACATATCCATATCACTTTGATTTGAACCGAAACCATTTATTGAAGAGCCAACAATATACAGGCCAGCATCTATATATATTTTTTTAAAAACACACACAGAGGAGGAAGAAAGTGTACTGAATTAATATGAAATAATTTTTCACGTTCATAGAAAATTACCACTGAAAGTAGATAACTCCAAGACTATGTGCGTCGGTCCACGTTACCATACCACATTAGCACAAGATGAACACCGGATTCATAAAAGTAGTTAATTCAGTGGTGGCAATGTATAAAAAAGATTGTGTATAAGGATATAGTACAGGAATAAAGAATCAGTTTGTAGAAAGAAAGATATGAAGCGATTTTAATCTCACAGTTTAAAAGAAGATAGAGAGTGTATACACCTACACCGTTGTGATCGATTCTGAACCACGTCACCAAGAGTCTCCAACCATTACTTATGATAGTCATATGGATCCCAACCAACTAGTCTACATCTACCACCAACATGGCTCAGACCAGAAGTTAGTGACTTCAAGGACTGATGTCACGTTTTGGTTTGGCCACTCCTAACTTTTTTCCAACAATCCCCAACACCGGTTAGCATTGCACGTCGTGGTAATCGGTGTTCAGGCATACGCAGCGCGTGGCCCAACCATACTAGTTGATGAAGATTAACAACCTTATCAACTGATTTACTATCATTCCCTAATACCCTGCGTCTAACCTTACTATTACTTATCCGGTGATCCCAGAAAACGCCAGCAATATTTCTAAGGCATCTGTGGTCAAATACTAGTAGCTTACAAATATCTTCTACTCTTAATGACCACGTTCCGCAGCCTTAAAGTAGAACAGAACGAACGGCCGAGCAGTATACTCTTCCTTTTATTGATAGACGGATATCTCGCCTTCGCCATAAGTGACGTAAGTTGGCAAAAGCCAAACGAGCTTTTCGAATCCGTGTTGAGATTTCGTCAGACACCAACCCATTAGGGCTGATCAAACTCCCAAGATAAGTGGGGTTGTCAACTAGTTCGACTACTTCACTCCCCTAACAGCTGACTAGTGCTATTATTACTATCTTCAAGTATTTTCTAAATCCAGTTGCCATTAATGATGATATTAAAAAACATATATGAAAGACTGGAATTAAATCAACATTTAAATGTTTGGATTACCTATCAATGCAGTTAGACATTTTTATGTGATGTAGAAATGTTTCAAATGCTCTCTTGAAAACGTGAGAGGCAATAAAGACTCAAAACTCTAGACATCAATACAAAAGTCCCCTACAAAGGTCAAGGCTTAAAACAAAAAAATACTAAAACGATTTCTATGGATTAACTTTACTGGTAAATGAACATTTCGTCGGAGGTAGTCGGCATGAAGCTGTGGATCAACATTTCATTGCATTGAAGAAACACATATGGCTTATTTACTAGGTACAGATTCGTTTAGTTGGAGTTATATTCTATATATAAAGGCTAATAATAGTACCGTTTTCCAAACCAGAGATTGAGTGGCTTCAGCCTATGAATTAGTGGCCGAAATTTTGATCCTTTAGTCCCTGAACAACTGTTTTTCACACTAGTAAAACGAATCTTCAGCCGACGTTCCTCCTGGGATTTCAAACCGTGCACTAGGTACATTTCAAATAAGTTTAACAATTAAAGCACTAATTTCGTCAGTAATCGATAACTTTTTATTCCAGAGTCCAGCACAAAGATACCTCTAACAGTGATAATATAAAAATTTCCCGCTTATCATGTCAGTTATTTACCAAGCACATGTATGTGCAATCGGTGAAGAGGTTGGCGACACTGACAGCCTCCCCGTACGGAACATGATGGAATGAAGTTGGAATCATTAAACTAATGGTTGAAAGTCAAGTGAGTGAATTAATTACGAATCGGTGCCTTATTGTATATAAGAGCTGTAGAGAAACTATCTGTAAATTACAACAATTTCATAACTAAACACATATTTACTATAAAGGAATTTCAGAAAATAATGTGTATAATTACTTCAATTACATCAATATATACCCCCGTTTACAAAGTCATCAATCTTTTTTTAGAAAAGTACTTATTTGCTAGATGAACAAAGTGGCTTAGTGGTTAGGCTTTTCGAAGTTCAACCATTAAGTCTCTGTTTAGAACCCCACCTTGTATACTTCAATATTATTGTTAGCTTTTACAATTATAGTGTGGCTTATACTCAAGCATCCGGCGAACAAATTATTTAAATTAAGTCTAAGTTCTTGTGAATTAAGTTACATATAATAATTATAGATAAGAAAGGTACTCTTTTAAAATGGTTTTACTTACTTTCGAACACTCCTGATATAACCATATGTAAAGCATTAAGTAGATGAACTTTCTTTTCATATTTTAAAGGACTTTGTCTTGAGCTACTATATAATTCCCAAATCCTTACCGACAAGTTTTCCATATACAATGAAGAGGACAATGTGGAACTAGTAGGAATAAATGATGAACTGGTTATAAATGGCTTTGCATTTGGTTGAAATGATGCAACAGACAGTGGAGCTCCATCAGGTACACATTTTCTATGAGTGATTATTTTCGATTCACTACCACAGACTGGTAAATTTGATATGGGTAAGTTCACTGGTTTATTATTTTGTGTTTTACTAATTTTATTTTTCTTGAACATTACTAATCTGTAACAAACAACAGGAAAGTGAATGTTTAGTACTGTAGGGAATCATGTTTATATATAGACAAGATCACTCTAAATTATCACCGTACACTCATGCTATCATCACCAAACTACCTTCAAGTATAATATTAAGAGAAGCATGCAGTAGATATTACCTCGGCGAGACTCTAATTGATGGACGAGCCAATCAGAAGCGCTTTAGAGATTTCAAGGTTACAGCGCCAACTTGAATGCTTAATTCTTAATAGGTTCACAAGGAATTTTTTACAAAACGTGATAACTGAGCGCCTGTGACATATAAAACTGCGAAACTATAGTTTGTGAATGAATCGATCAGGTATAAAATAACGGATTTTAACGCGAAAGCCTTTCATCCATTTGGTTAAACCCGAGCTCCCAATTTTTGGGGAAGCCGCTATGGTAAACTTTGGGGTGTAGCGGTAAATAAATCCCCAAAATAAATAGCACTAAGTTTTCGACATTGGATGCTGACCATATGTTTTAGTGGACTCATCTAGCTGAAGGCGCTCGGTCAGGCATCTGCACCAGATCGTGTGGTAACGCCGTGCTCAACATCAACCGCAATCGCTAGCCAGATTAGATCAGAGAATTCCGATATATTGGTCATCGCCAAATATACTCTTCCGATCTCCTCGACTCTGTCTTTTGATTTCTCTGGGCGGGAACGAAATATATTAGAAGGTGTTACTGGTAGAAGCGTTGTCAAACACTGAATACCTGTGACATCATCATTGGTGAGCCCGACGTGATCTGGTACACCTAATTGCAACTGTGAGTCTGTTCCTTTTTGGGATTTTTATATATCATTGCCTTATTTTTTTAACTTTTTTAAACATTGTGATTTTTTTTCGTGTTTTTTCCTGGATATATATATTTTCCCCTCGTTCATTATCGTACTTCATACTTCATCATGACTGAACAGACACCTAAAGTACTCAAGCTTAAGACTTTGTCCCCGCCTTCGTTTCAACTGATGCCTTGCTGGCCCGACAACATCGAAGCCTGGTTTTGCTACGCAGAAGCCGACTTCTCCGAGCACGTGCACAATTCCTCGCAGTAGTCAAGGCACTACCGCGCGAATTCAACAGGTACGTAACACCTAGTATGTTTACTAGTGATGTTTCCGATCCTTACGAAATCTTAAAACGCTCGATTCTTAAACGAGGAGACCTAACCGATCGACAAAGGTTAGATCAACTCTTCAACAATATCGACCTGCAACACGGTTCTGCGACAGACATGTTGCAACGGATGAGAGAGGTTATAGGCCCAAGAACTTTCGACGAAGGTCTATTCAAACAACTCTTCTTGTCAAAACTTCCCCAACAGGTGCAAGCAGTTCTGGTCTCGTTCCAGAACAACGCCTTAGACGAGCTAGCTGCATCTGCCGACCACATTTTAGAAATTACGAAATCTACTACCGAGGTATTTTCAGTCAAAGAAAAACCTCAAACGACTCAGAATGATATAAACGACTTATGTCACACACTCACGCGTTATCTTAGTCTTCGTACCGACCGTAAGAGATCGCGCACACCACGTAGAAGCATTTCTCGTAAGCGATCTGTCTCTAGACCACGAGAGACAGATAACCTCGACTGGTGCTGGTATCATAACCAGTATGGAAAGTTTTCCAGAAATTGCAGAAAACCCTGCAATTTTCCCAACACGAAACCGACTGATTCGAAAAGCATTTCGGGAAACTTCCAAGCCGGCACGCGTTAACGGCAACCGTAGCCGGCGAACAAAGCCGTCTGTTATTCGTCACAGATGTGACAACGAGAGTTCGCTACCTCGTCGACACTGGCGCAGACGTTAGCGTTCTCCCAGCAAATCCTAACGACCGGCTTCAGGAATCGGCTTTTAACTTACAGGCGGCAAACGGAAAACCGATCGCTACGTATGGCAAAAGGTACGTTTACCTTAACGTGGGTTTACGCAAACCCATCCACTGGATTTTCGTTATTGCAGATGTTTCTATGCCAATCATTGGTATGGACCTTCTACAACACCACAATCTGATCATCGACACGCGCAAACGGAGGCTAGTAGACGGAAACACTAATTTGTCCGTTTGCGTAACTTCTTTTACTGGTTGTAGAGTATCCCCAGTCACAGTTAAACATATGATAGACCCACTCTATCAACCACTACTCGATAAGTACCCTGGGATACAACAAACTCAACCAAAACTACCGTGTGTAACCAGCAATGTTACACATCACATCACGACTACAGGACCACCTGTATTCTCTAAAGCACGACGACTAGCTCCTGAAAAGCTAAGGTTAGCGAAAAACGAATTCGATCACATGATGGACTTAGGAATCATACGACCGTCAAGTAGCCCATATGCATCTCCGTTGCACATGGTCCCTAAAAAGGACAGCAACGATTGGCGTCCAACTGGTGACTATCGGCGATTGAACGCGAAAACCATTCCCGATCGTTACCCGTTGCCTCACATTCACGATTTGACAGCTACCTTGAAAGGTACAACTGTCTTTTCGAAAATCGACTTGGTTAAAGCGTATAACCAAATCCCTATAGCTACTGACGACATACCGAAAACAGCTATCATAACTCCTTTCGGACTCTATGAATTTTTGCGAATGCCTTTCGGTCTAAGAAATGCTGCTCAAACATTCCAAAGATTCGTAGACGACGTTTTTCGAGGTCTCAACTCCGTACACGCGTATGTTGACGACTGTCTAATCGCAAGTCCGGGCAGAGAAACACATCTCAAGCATCTGGATCTTGTTTTCGAACGACTTCAAAAACATGGCATAACTGTAAACGTTCAGAAATGCCAATTCGGAACCGACTCGTTAGACTTCCTAGGACACACTATCGATGCTCAAGGCATTCGACCTCTTAGGACCAAAGTGGCGGCCATTCTGGATTACCCAGAACCGACTACCGTCAAGCAATTACGCACGTTTAACGGCCTGGTAAGTTTCTATAGACGTTTCATACCGAAATGCGCATTACTTATGAAACCTCTGACCGACCAACTTCGTGGAAATGCGAAATCCATTAATTTGGACGACACGGCACGAAAAGCATTCTCCACAGTTAAGGAACTGATTGCTAAAGCAACGATGCTCGCACATCAGGACACCCGAGCACCCATTAGCATCGCAGTAGACGCATCCGACTCGGCAATCGGAGGAGTCTTACAACAATGGGTTAACAACTCCTGGCAACCCTTGGCATTTTTCTCTAGAAGGTTGCTAGACACCGAATCGAGGTACAGCACATTCGGTAGGGAACTCCTAGCTATGTATTGTGCTGTACGGCATTTTCAACACTACATCGAAGGTCGTGAATTCACTCTTTTCACGGACCATAAACCGCTCACTTTCTCGTTAAGCTCTCCTTCTGACAAGTACTCTCCACGTGAGTCTCGACAACTGGACTACATTTCGCAGTTTACTTCAGACATTCAACACATCTCTGGAGCAAACAATGTAGTTGCAGACGCTTTATCTCGTATAACTTCCTTGAACAGTTTCCAAGGAATCGACCTTCTTAAACTCGCCGAGCTTCAAAAAGAAGACAGTGATCTTCAGCACGAGTTATCGTCCACAACACTTAAACTACGCATCAAACAGATGGGAACAGGTAAGGAAACCTTACTTTGTGACACATCTACAGGTAGGGATCGCCCAATCGTGCCGAAACATTATCGACGCAATGTCTTCAACACATTGCACAAACTTTCGCATCCAGGTGTTCGTGCAACCATCAAGCTTATAGCAGAAAGGTTTTGCTGGCCTGGAATGAATAAAGACGTGAGGGAGTGGGCACGCTCCTGTGTAAGCTGCCAAAAATCTAAGGTTATCAGACACAATAAATGTCCCTTAGGCTCGTTTAGAACTCCCGATGCTCGTTTCGACCATGTTCATCTGGATTTGGTAGGACCTTTACCAGATTCAAATGGATACTCTTATCTCTTAACCTGCGTAGACCGTTTCACTCGATGGCCAGAAGCAGTACCTATCAAGGACATCACTGCTGAAACAGTGGCCCGCACCTTCGTCGAACGATGGGTAGCAAACTTCGGCTGCCCTTCAACCATCACTACAGACCGCGGACGTCAGTTTGAATCCGATCTTTTCCGTCGTCTGACCACACTTTTAGGAATCACTCGCTTCCGAACGACCGCCTACTATCCACAAGCAAACGGGTTGGTAGAACGTTTTCACCGACAACTGAAAGCTTCGCTATCAGCTGCAAACGTTTCACAATGGACCGACGCTCTTCCACTCGTCTTACTAGGTATCCGCAATGCAGTGAAAGCTGACATTGGATACACTGCGGCTCAACTCGTTTATGGAACGACACTTCGACTTCCAGGAGAATTCGTGGATTCTTCGTCCTCTTCAATGAACATGGATCTAACCTCCTACACGAACAGGCTTACAAACGCAATGCGTTCAGTTAAACCTGCTTCCACTCGACCTCAATCAACTGATGTTTTCGTTCAACCTGACTTACGATATAGTACACACGTTTTCGTTCGTCGAGACTCGCATTGACGACCATTCGAATCAGCATACGAAGAACCCTTCAAAGTTCTTCAACGTGAATCTAAGTACTATATAGTCGATAAGAACGGAACCAACGATAGCATCAGTATCGATCGCTTAAAAGCAGCGTATTTAGAAGGAAATCCTATCTACGTGGATTTTCCTTCGGTACAATCGAACGACACGACTCCGACACTTATAATACCTCATCCGACAACCAACACACACGATGATATTTCGACAGTATCCGAAAATAAACTTAAAACGACGCGTTCTGGAAGAAGGGTGAGATTTCCAGAACATTTAAACGACTATTGCACGTAAGGCACTTCTCGACATTTTATATTATTTTTTTAAAAAAAAACAATTTTAATATGCTTATATATTTTTATTTCTATTCAAAAAAAAAACAAAAAAAAACAATTTTTTTAACGCTATTACGTGTTCATGAGTTTATTTTCCATTTTTTTCCGCCGACATTGCGTTTTTACGCACATACGAGTGTATTTCGACATGCACTTACATTTTCTTTTTTCTTTTCCAGGACGGCTGGAAAAGAACGATGACGTTTATGAGGATCCGAAATTTTCATTGTACATTTTCTTTTTTTACTATGTTGTACCTCCGTCCCATATAGTAAGGAAAGACGACCA